GGAAAGGGTGCTGTCATCTCAGTCTGCTTTGAATGAAGTCAGTAGGCTGAGCTTGTGCCAGGTGAAGGAATGAGCCTGGTAGTCACCTGGGTCTCAGCTGGGCTTTATCTCACTTAGACCCAGGCTCAGCTGGCAGCTCCTCTGAGAGACGAAGCTCCTGGGAGCTGCCTGCAATAGCAAAGATAAAGAGGCTCAATTCTTGAAGGCTTTTCTTGGAGGGGAACTGCTCTTCCTTGCTATTTTCTTGTGACAATGAGTCAGACCTACAAGGAGGGCAGGACCAGGTGGGTCTTTGAGGGATGCTTCAGGCTCTGCATGGTTAAGCCAAGTGCCTGCGAGGGTGAGGTGTCCTGGGCAGTGCTCCTCATGCCTGTACCTGTGGGACTTGTGGCACTTATGCACCCACAGTGGGATGTGAGGCTCTCAGACAGGCTGAGTGCATCTGCTCTGGGCTCCCCACAGACTCAGTCTGCTGCTCACATGGGAGCAAGGAGTCATCTAAACTCAGGTGTCTCTGGTGCTGTTGCTTTGTCCCAGACCAGCTCCACTTCCCAGCCATGGGAGTATTTTGGCATGTAAAAATTTATTTTTCCTTTTGCATCCCTTCTTGAAGATACAGGATCTTTACTGTACTGATTTTCCTAAACTTCTGATGCCATTTGATCTCTGTGATCAAAGATTCCAATGCAGAGAAAACCTGCCCTGGCCAGAGAGCTGAAAAGAAAGCCAATGAGCATTTCCACCTTGTCCAAAGTGTGTTACCTTTGAAGAGAGTAGGATTTCACCTATAAAATATTGAACAAACTCCCCAGAACCTCAGTGGTCCTCACTCTACAGAGACAGTGGGAATTTTGCCATTTCTTTTCTGGGATAACACTAAGGGTAAAGAATTGAGCTCAGATTTTAAGCCCTTCCTGATGTCACAAAGCACTGTGCTGGCTACAAGGCTGGGGTGAAAGTGTAACAGGCTGTGCTGTCCCTGAGCACCCCACAGGTTTAGCCCACAGGGCTAGCAAAATATTTTTCTCCACTTCTTCTGCCAGCTGTCGTGTGCTGGAAAGCAGAGCCTGTCCCACACCAGACAGGGCTGCAGTTGGTGTATGGTGAGTGACCCTGTGTGTGAAGGTGTGGTGGCCAGCACCACACCACAATCTGGAGATGAAGTTTCACTTGATCATTACATCACCCTGATTAAATTCACCATGAGCTGCAACATGATGAGAAAAAGCAATGCACCCATTAAACTGATGATGGAGACAAGAACAAGGCTGCTCCATGGGACGTGGGCTGGCAAGGACTAATTGATGTGGAAATTACGTGACCGAGGGTCAGCAATTACAGGACTCTCCTGCTCCACATGGAAGAGGCCACAGCTGGAAAACAGCTTGCTCTCTCCTAGGGACATCCCAGGAAAAGCTGTGAAAACAATTTGAAGAAAGCCTCTGTATGCATGAGGCTATGCCATTCCCTAAGAAAGCCAATGTAGTGGGGAAGAACAGGCTCTAAGGTTACAGAGCTATTTTATATGCAAGTACTTTCTTGCACATATAGGAAGTCAAAGTGGTGTCTTGAAACCCTAAAAATCTCAGTGTCTAATGTTCAACTGATTCTTTTTTCATCTGTGCTGACTGACCACTTTTCTCCAGGGCTTAAATATGGCATTGGTTTCTGGTGTGGGCTCTCCTCAGTCTGGTGCCAAGGAAATGCAGTGAAGAGTGTTTGCCTTTTCAGTCCCAGTCAAGTAGTGGAGAATTTAACATCTGCATTTTTTAAAATTAAAAATGCCTGTAATTTACTACAATTTGACCTGTTCCCGTGGGGGAAAACCCCACAGTAATCACAAAGAAACCAGCTGGTATTTTTCTTATGGAGAGTTCTACAGTCAGACAAGACCAACCTCCCCAGGGCAAGAATTTACCCCAGCCTTCCCCTTTGTTTGGTTGTAGAATATCCTTTACTATATCCACATCTCGTTTGCAGCCAGGTTACCCCTCTGATAGTGGGAAAGCTGGGAGCCATCATCCCAGGGCTGCACAAAAAGGGAGCTGCACAATTGCAAGGCCCTGATGTGGGACCATGCCCTTGCATGGGCGCCGGTACTGCACCATTTTTATTTGACAGCTTGGCCACTAAAGGAAGCAACTCCCAGCCCTCCAGCTGACTCCTGGTCTCATGGGCAGAGCTGTGAGGTCTGGCATTGGTGCCATTCAGGACTTGACCCCAAAAGTGAAAGTGAGCCCACCATTTTTTAAGTGTTTTTGTGCAAAAGGCTTAATGGTTTATTAAAGTGAGAAGGATCTCAGCAAGCATATGAGACAGACAAGAGCTGAGAAGATGCGGCTGAATGGGAACATCTTGCTAGCAAAATTGTAACTCTCACTTGCCCTGCCACTGTTCACCTGTCAGCCTTTGCTGCTTTTCCTTTGGGAGGAATGTGAGGTTTCCTCCCCATGTAGAGCCCAAAGTGATGCATGAAAAGCCAAATTCAACCTGAGCAACCCTCAGGATGATGATCAGGGTAAACCCACAGCAGGAGCCTGCTCCCCTGTCCAGGGACTCAACTCCCCCTTCTGTCACTCTCCAGCTCCAGCACAACCACAGCTGGTTTGTGAGGCTTCATCTCTGCCACGAGCTATAATGCTGCCTAAAATCCTCTTGGCAGGAATAATTCTCTCTAAAGAGAAAACTGTGACAGCACGGCCAAGTGCAGGGTTTCAGCAGAAACATCCCATGCCCCCCCCCCCCGAGCACTCCTGCTGAACTTTGCTTATTTTGGCGGGCCAGCCCTGCATCCCCTCCGCTCCCAGGCCTGGCAAAGGCAGCGGGCCAGCCTGCTTAGCATGCGTCTGTCACTGCTGGGAGCAATCACTGCTGCTAAGCAGCCGAGCCCGGCGGCCGCGAGCATCTCGGTCCAGCGTCCCCCCCATCCTGGCTCGTCATATGATTTCTCCTAAGGGACAGCTGCTGAGCGGGACTGTGTCTCCAAGCTGATCCTTTGCTGATAAGCCAGCTGCCAAGCCTCCACTGCTGAGACAAAAGAGTTTTTCTCTTCCCAGCAGGGTTTTTCTGCTGTGAATGACAGAGAAAGGGGTAAAAGTGAGCTGCCTGGCACTCCTCGTGGGCGAGAGGCTTTGGGGGCTCCTTGTTTCCCGCTGTGCTGGCAGATCATGGAGCTTTTCAGGCTGAGCCTGGGCTGCATTTGCCTCCTTCCCTGGCTTGAGGGTAAGTTTCTCCTCTTTTGGGGTAGCTGTAAAGTGGGAAGAGAACTGCCTCCCGGGTTATAACCTGCTTTCCTGCTGAACTGTTGCTTGGGCTGCAAAGCTCAAGAACCCACCAGCTGTAGAACAAGTGCCGACAGGCACATTTCAGGGCAGCATTTAAAATGGGATTAAACACAGGGATACAGAAGAGTGAGGGACAGGCTGGCAAAGTGCTGGGATGGCTGGGCCAGGGACACCGTGGCATCATGCCCACAGCTTTTATAAAGTGCTTTTAAGCTGCTAAGAGTAGTGGATGAATAAACCTGCTCAGGGAGGGAGGCAGGCACTAAGTGACCTCCTAAGCCCTAATGTTCGTCCTGGTCCCAGCTGCTCCTTCCCAGCAGAATTAAGCTCAGAGCATGCTAGCAGCATGGGAGAGGGCAGTGGGAAGTGCAGAAGTATTAGTCCTGCTCCTGTGGTGGTCGGCTGGGAGTGGGATGTGCTGGGAAGCTGCAGAGTCAGCTCACCTCCATAGAGCAAACTTGGTAGCAGCTCATGTTGATATTCAGGTGCTTTCTGGGGTTGCTCCAATCCTGTATCCTGCTCATGCACAGGAGTATTTCAAACCCAAGCAGCCCTGGTTTTGACATGCATGGGTAGATGCAAAAAGCAGAAGTCCCTGCTGAGCATCATCCCAGAGATCTGGAGCATTGCTACCCAAGAACAGTTTCCAAGGAGTGGTGCTACCATGGTTTCACCAATCCCATCATGACATCAGGAGGAATCAATTTTCTTTAAAAATTAGAGAAGTCCCTGAGCTAATAAGCCTTTTTATTTTGCTGCTATGACTGAGATGTCAGGTTGAAAGTGACTCATTGATACAAATCACCTAAGTTCTTCAAGGCTCATTCAGTCCCTGAAGCAGTGAGGAGAACAGCTCTGCAGTTTTACAGGTTACATGCTCAGAGCTGTTCAAAATCCCTCAATCAGAGGACTACAACTATTTGGGCTGCCCAGCTGGGATGTTTACTCCTTAAAGATAAACCTCAGGCTGGCACCTCTGACCAGCTACTTTTCACTCCTTGCTGCACAAGTGAGTGTTCCCTGGGATGTTTTGAGAAGTTACCCCTCAATTTGCTCTGCAGCTGGGTAATGGGAGAGGTTTGTGCTCCTACAGGTTTGACTTCTGCTCCATCTGCTGCTGTTTTCTGCACATCTAAAGTTGCCAATTAAAGCGAACTGAATCTCTCACTTTGTAAAGCCCCAGACTGAGGCTATGTCCTTGTAGTGGTAAGGGGTGATGATGCACATGCATCTTCTAAAAGTTAGAGGAGATTTGGTTAGGACCTGGAGATTATACCATGATGGCATGCAAAGAGAGCAGAACAGCCTTCAGGGTGTTGCTCTTCCTTTACTTCTAAGGTAGGATCTTGTCTGGTGTTAGAATAAAGTGATTTTTTACTGCTGCCATACAATGCAATCCACATGGTTTTGTTTTATTAGTAAAGTATGGAGGATCACAGGGTATTTGATTTCCTTTCTAGTGTAATGCTTTTGGTGCAAACATGACCAGCCACTGCATTTCAGCCAGACCAGTAATAAAAGAATAAAACCATCACTGTTTTGCAGAAAGGAATTCATCTTCTGGCAATGCCCAAAGAAGCTCAAAGCACAGAGCACAAACATGTTCATGCTTGGGGCTGAAATCCCCTTGCGGCAGCTTTTCCTCCTGTCCCCTCCTGCCTGGGGCTGCTGAGTTTTAAGGCTGCTGCAGGACAGAGATGCTTGCTCTCAACAGACCTCTGAGGGGTTGGTATCCTGCTGAAAACTGGAAATCCTGGAATTTCCTAAGCTGGTTTTGACAGTTGCTTCTTTGGAAAGTACCTGCAAGCAGAGAGGAGGCAAAAATTAGTTAGATGTCAGAAAAAAATTCTTCACTGAAAGAGTGATTGGGCAATGGAATGGGCTGCCAGGGCGGTGGTGGAGTCACCATCCCTGGAGGTGTTTAAAAATTAAAGACTGGATGTGGCACTCAGTGCCATGGTTTAGTTGATGAGGAACTGTTAGGTTTGTTCACAGGTTGGACTTGATGATCCCAAAGGCCTTTTCCAACCTAGTTCACTCTGTGATTCTGTAAAAAGTTTTGTTAAAAAACCAGACCTAATGGTGACCCCATGAAGTGCAATGGGCAGTGGGAAGTCAGGCACCAGCAGGATCTGTGTACAGAAAGAAAAATGCTGAAATAAAACTGCATTTAGCACTGACTCTGACCCCCATGCACTGGGTGTGAGGCTGTGGTATCTGTGTTTGGCATCTTGGCCTGATCCCATATCTTGGGAGCCACTCTCCTCCCCCTCAAGACCATGGTAGTGCTGACCCTGACCCCTGATGCCCTGAACTCAAAAGGCAGCCCTAAGCATTTTGCACTGAAGAGGCAGAAAGGCCAAGCTTGTACAATACTTCTGCTCCCCCATTAACTTTTACAGCCTCCAACTATTTTTCACTTGGGGGATTTCCTGGCTGTGATGCATTTAAATCTTCAGTAGCTATCAGACCTTCTCCCTTGGCTTGTGCAGGTTCTCCCCAGCAGCAACACACACTGCCTGGGTGTAGAACCACTTCCTGCACACTGCAAGTCTTCCCTTGGCACCCCTTGTCCCATCCAGGATCAGTCCTTGACCAGTCAGCCCCTCTCCATCTCCTCCAGACCTCTCTGGATTTTGTAGACACCCATCATATCCCCATCCCAGGGACTGGTTTTCCCCACTTGCATCAGCGTTGTTTTCCCCACTTGCATCACCAACCTCCCCCACTTCCTATAATTGATAGATTTTTTTTTTTTCCATGTCAAAACCTTCCTTCTTTTCCTATGGCTGTTTTGCTCCCTTGGAGGCCTTCACTGAGCTACTTGGTAAAAAGTGGACCTTGCAGTAATGTGGAAAGATATGAAGCTCTGTTGGTCAACCAAAATCAAGATATTCTTAAGAAAGCAGCAGTGGTTAGGAAAAATACGGGCCAAGCCACCCCAAACAATTTGCAAATGTCTTTGATCAAGACATCACAGGCAATGCTTAGAAACAGCAGAAACTTTCCCAGTCACACTGGGATTACTGGTAACCAAGGCTTTCTCAGTGGCATTACCTTAATTAGGAACGTTGCATGGATTTTGCCCCTAATCCTACATAGAACAGCACGTCCCAAGGGGGCTCACGCTGCAGAAAAGCAGGGGCCTGTATTTGCTTGCTTTTCTATCTTGTAACCAGACACAGTGTCAGTGTCATAGGACAAATGAGCTGGCATCAAGAGCCTTGCTAGAAATTGTTTATTTTGTTCCTAAAAATATGAAGAGGCCAAAGTGTTCAAGTATGTGCAGCCCAAAGCAGGCATCTACTTGGACTCTGTGAGTAAGGCTGGCATTTTCCAGAGACGCTGAGTCTCATCCTCAGGGAGTACACTGGTTGCTCCAGGTTAAAATTCTTAAAATGTTAGAGCTCATGGCCTTATTTGTCGGACTACTGGGCAGCGGGACGTGGGATGTCATTTTGTCTCCTGAGTAAAGATTCTTGGTGCCTGATGTGTATCTCAAAGTAAACACCCTCCAGGTTTAGCTGTGGCTCTATCCCCTATGGCTGTGTGGGGCAGGAGTGATGCACATGTGACTGCAATGTTTGCTGCCTCTGTGCAGGTAACAAACACGGTGATTGTTTAGAGGGGAACATAAAACATCAGGGACTCCACAGAGAGCAAAACACGTATCTCCTGCTGGGTCAAACAGCAGCACTCTTCAAAGTGTAATGAAAATACCCAAAAGTTTCAAATGGAGAGTCATTGCCAAGAAAGGAAAAGAAAATACAGCAAAGATTGTGGCATGCTTAATAATAAAACATGTAATAAAACATATGAGAAAAAGACCTGGATGAGCAGCTTAGAGAGAGAATACAACAACTGCCAGCAGAAATTTTCAAACATTATCTGAAGCAGGAAGTTGGTGGGGGTCAGGAGGTCAGTATAACTGGCACAAATGCAAGAAGGGCAACCAAAAGTAGGGCAGTGTAGAAAGGCTGAATGGATTACTGGCTGTAGTGCTCCCTTCAGACATGGTCAGGGAGGTCGTGGCAGTCACTCTCTGCAGTTTGAAAGGTTATCAAACAGAATTGGCAACAGAGGAAGTTTAAGGAGGGAAGAAAAAAAAAAAAAGATAAATAATCTGTGGCAACGGACCAGCCCAAATGTCTTTTGAGTTATAGGAAACTAAAGATGACATTAAAAAAACTTCTAAGGAGTGTATTAAATTCTTATTTAAGGCAACCTTGACACCAAAGGGCTGCATTACAGCAATAATGCCCCTCTTAAGAGGGATCCTTGCACAGCCTAGGGAGACACAGGTCCTTTGGCTCTGTTTCAGCATTGGGCAAGTCAGTGGAAGAAAAGAAGAGTATTCACAGACAGATAAACATAAGAAAAGTCAATTCAGCTTTTGCAATGGGAACGCCTGACATCCATGATGGTATCAGTAAGAACATAAATGCGCTGAGCTGATCAAGGGCTTGGGCCAGTGTTTGCAAAAGGCTTTTGACAACAATTTTCCACCCAGGCCCTTAAGAAACTACATTCTCATGGAGTAGGTGACAGACCTAGCCCACAGGCTGGAACAAAGATGTGGACTAAATTGACAATGATCACAGCAGTGTTAGTATCAGAAGGTGCTGAGAAAGATCAGAAGGGATGAATAATGGAGTAATTAAGCTTGCTGATGCCACAAAGTAATTAAGAATAATCAAAACTTAAGTTGACTTTGTGAAACTGCAGAAGGAGCTCTGATACTGATGGAGCAACAAAATTATATTTTTCTTTGTACTTCAGAGCTGAAAAATGTAGTTGGCAAAACCATTTTACCCATAAATACCCAGCGATACTCTCTGAGTTAGTCCAAACAGAGCACTGGAATGGCTGCCCAGAGAGGTTGTGGAATCTCCCTGTCTGGAGGTCTTCAAACCTCACGTGGATGTGTTCCTGTGTCATTTGCTCCAGGTGATCCTGTGTTGGCTGGATTGGGCTGTATGATCTCCAGTAGTCCCTTCCAACCCCAACAAATCTGTGATTCTGTGATTTTTGGAAGGAGGCACTGGCATCTTGCTGTCTTGAGTGAGATATTTACATGTCTGATTCTTACCCTCTTCCTCTATTAGCAGATGTTAATGGCCCAGCGCTGCAGACAGTATCCTGGGCTCAGCAGATGTTTTATCTGATCCAGCACAGTTGTTATATTCCCTTTTACATTGTAATGCATGTCTCAAATTATGACTTTGGAAATGGGTTTCTCACAGTTAAGCTGAAGCAAAGATGTGAGAATCCTGAATTCCACTTCCTAGGGAAAAATGGCGAGGGTGGGGTGGGGCTTGGGGGGATTGTATTAATCCATTTCAATTTTCTAAAGTTTACAGGAAATTACTTATGAGTCATTTCTTCTGCCTTTAGAGGCTGGCAGAAACTCAAGTCCAAAATGCATTAAATATCTTACTTCCACCCAGCCCTCAGTAAGGGTTAAAGAGAACAGGACTCACAAGTTGCCCACAGATAGCCCAGAAATTTAATTACCATTTAGACACATTGGCTGGCAGGAATTGTCTGGATTAGTGGCTATCACAGGTGCATGAAGGTCAATATCTCAGCACAGACACATTGATCTGACAATCTCAGAGCTGGTGGAGAAGCACTGTGGTTTCTGACTCCTCTCCTCAGGCATTCAGGCTGAGCAGAAAGCCCTGAGCTCTTTCTTATTTAACAGCCTCAAGGCATTATTAATCTAGCAGAACCCTTGAATTTCCTGAGAGAAAAACATGAGAGCTCCTTTAAACCATTGTTTATACTGTTGTTATTGTGTACCAGCTTCTGTTTATACTGTCACTAATCTTTTCAGGTACTGAGCCAAATACTTGTATTGGCTCAGTATTGTTTTGGGTTTTGTGGTCTTGGTCTTTTTTTTTTATTTGGGAGGGGAAACTCTGCAGAAATAGTTTAGATAAAAATCAGTGTTCTTGCCTAACATCACTTTTCAGTGTCCTCTTACTCTTTATGCTCAGTACTATATACCAATGGGGCTTTTATAATTTTGTCTCCTGGGGAAGAAAGGAAAAAAGGTCACTGTAAAAGCTGGGAGTTGCAGTATGTTGCTACTAAAAGATTTCTCAGAATGTCCAGAAATTTGAAACTTCTATTTCTATCCATCTATCTTAGGCATAAAATACACAGCAGAAAGTTCACCTGCAACAGTGGTGGATGGTTTAGCACTTAACATTTTGCTCAGGATATTCACAGGCCACACCTGATGAAGTTATACTGAAAACAGTGGCAATCCTTCAGCTAATGTGATATCCGTCCTAAATCATCTGGATGTTGGGACCTGTTGCTCTTAAAAGCAACAAGCAATTACAGAAATTGCTTTAAATTGTGTGTTTATTGTGGGACAGCTGCAATGTCTCCCCCTCTTACAAAAGGATTTTTAGAAGTGGTACTTTTGTTCCTAAGGTGCACAGACCAATGTCAGGTGTGCTAAATCCAAGATAATTTCACTACTTACATGAGCTGCCTCAGTCAAGTACTTACACACTTCTGGTGGGATATGGTTTTATCCCTGCACTGCTTTAATACCTCCAGAAGCCACTTAATAGACAGTGTAGCCCAAGGTGGCCTAGTTGGCCCCAGATGAACAGCACGAGGGGGATTTCAACTGCTCTTTTGTAAGAAAGATTTGACCTGGATAGGGGCAAAGCATCCCTTAAACTATCTAATTCATTTGGAGGGAGGGTAGGATGGCTACCTAGTTAAAACAATTGAAGTACTGAATTAAATACATACAGATATATATATATATATATATATATATATATATATATATATAGGCAGATATTTGATGTAATCATTCCAGTTGGAAGGATGTTTTTCCTCATTAGTTACATAACTGCTATTTTCCTCTAGCATTGCTCATGGCTATTTGCACGCTCCTTTTTTTCAAAGAAATGTCATTCCAGGAAATTAGGAAGCTGTGGGAACTATTTATCTGGGCATGCCCATCCAGGAAAGGACTTGTGGGTTACATCTTACCTCCCCCAGGGTATTTACAAAGACATGTGTTAGTGCACAGTACTAAACCCTCCTCTGGTTGTACCGCAGTAGCAGAGGGACGAGGCTTCCTCATAAGGAACACCCGGCTGGAAAAGTGCATCCGAGCCTCCCACGAGACCAACAGCATCAGCCTGGCCAGCTGCAAGGAGCACTCCCAGCTGCAGCAGTGGGGCTGGGACCCCGACACGGGCACCATCGCCAGCCTGCACACCGGGCGCTGCCTGGCGGCACACAGGATGCGCCAGCACGCTCTGGTCAAGCTGGAGCCCTGTGGAGACTGGGAACGCCAGGCATGGTCCTGCAGCAAGAAGGGACACTTGACTCTGCAGAGCTTGGGCTTCCACCTTGGCACCAAGGAGGGAGGCCACAAGGTCTTTGTCTCAAGGGAGAAGGACAAGTTCAGCAGGTGGAAGACGCTGGCAGATGAAACCATCTGTGCTGCTGCCCGGGCAGCAGCTCAGAGGCCCAGCAAACCAACACAACAAGCTCTAGACACACGTGTGTGGATCTATGAAAGTAAGATGAAGTAGATTTAGTGTTGGATAACATCTAACTTTCATGTCATCCAAACCATCTAACACCAGGCTTGCACATGCCATTCTAACTCGTGTCCACTTCGGCCCCACCCGGACAGACACCAAACGGCTCCAGCTCAACCCCACTACCTGGTACCATAGGTTTCCAGTAGTGGCTGTTCAGTGTTTTCCAGAAGCATGTAAAACCTTACATAATCAGGTCTCCAAAACCCAGCTGCATTTCTGAGGACAGGCAAATCTTTTGGTCAAATATTTCTGAATTGGTGCCCACAGCTAAGAATAATGGAAAGTGCTTGAGCCTCCCAAGCACAAAACACACAAGGAAGTCTCCCGAAGTCTGGCACTTTAGACTTTGAAAGAGCTTTGGTACTTTGGGATGTCTTTTTTGGTAAAACAACTGGAGGCAGCTGAAAACTTCTTTTAAATTTACACATATTATTGAGAAGGAGCTGTATCAGAAATTATTGCTTCAATTTCTGAAATTAAAGTTCTCTTCTGTGAGACCCCAACAGTGCACCTTTCACTAATGAAACCTAGCTCTAACCTTCATTCCATGTTCTCATTATCCTCAGTGAACCTTGCTGCTGGTGCCCACTGTAGCCATAAAGACACTGGTGAACACAGCAAGTAGTGGGAGGGAGCTTAAATGTTGCCCTCCTTTTGCATTAGAAATCCCAGAAGATGACATCAGAAATTATTAAAAATGGGGTTTATATTAACCATTTATGGCCTTGACCTTTGCTGAAGATAATCCAAACTCTGCTTTCAGAAGTTCACTAGCCTTTGTCTTAGACTGGACACAGAAAGGGCAAAAACCCTGGTCTTGTCACAATTTTAGGAGTTTGACCTAAGACTACCAGACATGGTCATTTTACCAAGATGTGGCTGTGATCATTTGTTGCACACCCAGTGAAGCCCACTGCTGACCACTGACAGTTCGTGGTCCAGTTTGTTTCCCACTTTCATTTAAGTCCTTTCTGCAAATAAAGGTGGTTTTCAGTACTTTTCTTGTAAAGTTGTGTGCAGAACTGAGACCTGAAATCACATTCAATTCCTCCTCTCCTTTCTTCCACTCCAGAGACCCAAAAAGAGCTGGTGTTTGTAATGGTTTTTATGTGTTTGTCCATTCTGTAGGTGATGAAGTTCCCAACATTCCTCAGGGAAAATGATTTTCCTGACAGGAGGCTATTCCTTACCTTAAGGTTGATGTACCCATGAGATTTCGAGCTCTGCAGAAATGAGTAAAGAGAAAATGTGATGTATCTGGTTGCCATAAACAGATGGATTATAAGTATAACCTTTTGACACAGAGACACTGTATCTAATTTGAAGTAAAAAGCATACATCAGCTGCTTTGGCTGCCATGTGTAGAGAAGGTGGCCTTTTTCCCCTCAAGCTTTTTAATTAGCCAACTAGAAGGTCAACATGTAATTATCACAATAGTTACAAGTGTTAGTGTTCGTTTAACATTAAGTTAAATATGGACCATACAAATTAGATACCATAACAGGCTAGTTAAATATAGGCTAGGAAATGCGTGGAACATTTAAGATATGGGAAAAAGGCATGTGAAAAGAGCATTTTCATTCCCCAAGGCAATGTTCCTGGCAGCCCAGGGCTGCCTTGGAGCCAGGATCCCTAAATAAGGCTGTGAGGGTAAACACAGAGCAGCTTTTGAATCAGGCTGTGCCACTTGGTGTCTCACGCAAAGTCATAATTTTCCTATAAATCCCATGGTTCAGTCTACTGGAGGGAACATCTGACTACTCAGTAACAACATCAATGTCCAATGTATTTGTTCAGGCATTTCTTATCTAACTTCCAGCTGATCATCAACAGACAATTTATACTTCGGTGGGTTATCCGCTCAATAAATTACACCTGTGTAGCTGTGGTGTGGCTGCTTATGGCACAGGATGGGAGGGGGGTTGGATAGGCAGCAGGGAGCCCTAAAGTCACAGTTTTCTTGGTCTTGGCATGTGCATGATTGCAACAGAGAGGTGAATTGCTGACATCAAACTTCACACAAGCTCCCCTCTAGCAGGAGTTGTTTGCCCACGCACCCTATTCTGCAGCAGGACTGGAGGGCTAAGGAAGGTATTGAGCCTTGCAAGAGGTATGGCCTACTTACCACCCTTGGGATCCCATTTTTATATCTGCAGTGTTGTTAATACCTGTGATTCTTCCTCTTGCCTCTTCCTCACACATCATCCTCTAACAGCTGGTGTTGCACTCATATTTTTAAAACCCATGATGACACCTACCACCAGAAAACAACCTCTGCTTTGGTTGTTGATTCCATCTTGAGAGGTTCATTTCACCTTTAAAATCTGTGACAGCTGAAAGCCCCTGATGCACAGGAGGAGGTGATTGCTACTGCACCACATCCTTCTTGCCGTGCAGGACAGAGAACCAAACCAGCAGGGCTTCGTTCCTTCTCCTTGCTGGGCAATGAGCATATCCAGGCTCCTGTACAAAAAGTAAATGATAATCACACAGATCTTTATTTCCTTCCAAGCTAAAACCATCGATTCATCAAAGATCGATGCTGTGGACAGACAGTCTTCTGTGAGCTCGACTGACCCCCCTCTGGCTGACAAGTTCAACAGCACAATGTCTCCTGCAAAGACCAAACAGGCACAGCTCCCAGCAAATGAGGGTGAGCAGCACTTTTCTGAATGCATAAGAACAGCAGGAAGGAAAGTGTGGGCAGCACTCCGAGGTTACTCAGCTATTTTCAGTGGTGGAAGAGCACCTGAGGATTTCTGAAGAACTTCCATGTGTACCACTGAGTGCTTTCACCCAACATGCTGAGTTACCCTTGGCAAGCAGTTCAGCGATACAGGCTTAACCTGGAGGCAGGTTAATAGCCACCAACTGTTTTAGGAGCAAAAATTATCTGTGGTTGGGGAACACTAAGTGACAATAAAGTTTCCTTTTCCTTTTTGGGTCCCATACAAAAGGGATTTGTTGTTACAGTGAAGCCTTATGAGGAATCTGGACCCCTGGTCCAACTGGAAGCTGCTAATCAGAGTCTTTCTGCTTCTTCCACTAGATCCATCCCACAACCACTCCAAGAAACATGGAAATCGGGGGAAAAACACTGGGGCCAGGCTTGCAGGTAGGTCCAGGGATCAGCCAGAGGAGGAAGGGACCAGCTAGATGAAGGTTCATCAGTGCCCCTCTCCTTCCCATTGTGACAGAGATACATTTCCCTGGGGTACTGCTGAGGATGCTCAATAGGGAACGAGGGCACAAAATTACCTGTCAGAAAGACTCTTTTTAAATCTCCACAGGCCTGTGATTAAAAAAAAAAATAGTAATAACATGAAAATCAGACAGCTGCTAACACTACTGCTTTCTCCCAGCCCTTCTTATTTTGTATCAGAAAGATGCAGAGTGGAGAAGCATGAGATATTATTTTCTTCATAGCAAGAAAGAAAAACTTTTGTGGCCACTTTCAATAGAAGGATGCTGTGCAGTGCAAAAGCAGCTGTAAGATGTCAATCATGTAGATAAAGCACTTTTCCTGTTATCTGGCATTTTTCAGGGACATTACGGGGATTTTTTGTGGCAGTCATGGCTATTGCATAAGAACAGGGAAATGTACAGCAAACATGTGATGCTTTCTCTAATACTCTTTCAGGCACGAACTGGAAGACAGCCATGCTGGTCCTCAGCCCCTTGGCATTCATACTGGGATTAATAATACTGACACTCAATGTTCACTACAACAAGTAAGTGAGAGTCATGTTCATTTGCCATGAACAGCATCTTAAAGAAAAACTCCAACATCTCAAAACAAAAGTCTTGGTCTTGGACCCCTCCCCATTCCACACCTGATGTCGCTGGCTCTCAGCAGATGGGTCTGGTCACCAGTGTGTCACCCTTGGGGATTTCTCCTCTCTGCCACCCAGTTTATCCATCCCACTCACTGACCCACCCAAATGCAGCCACTAATGTTGGCTCCTCCTTCCCTACACATCTTGTGCCATCACTGAAGTGACATTACAGTTGCTGATGTGGAGAAGCAACCAAGTGACAGACAGGTGCAGTTACTCTCTTCTCTCTTAGGAAGAAGAAAATCCTCTCTGCTCTGAAGAGCTCTCCAGCCAACAGCAGCAGAGTTGATTTACGGGAGCCGACCCCCTTGCGGAGGGGCCCCCAGCCGTACCTTCCACCATCCCGCTCCCCTTCCCTGAGGCGTGGAGAGATCCTCATCGAGTGGAAAGACGGGACTGTCACTCCTCTTTTTGACAACATCAATTACCAAGTGGACTAGCTCCAAAATGACAGAGCTTTTGCTCCATCCCGTGTCACTGTTCCCACCAGGAAGACTGCCACCACAGCTGATCCCCCTACCCTTGCTGTTTTGACAGGAAGCAGAGTTTGGGGTTTTTCTCTAAACACTTGAGTACAATCTTCTTGCACAAGACAAGGTTGAAGCAAGCAGAGTAGATTGTTTGGTTTGTATAGGCACATGCTGCTTAGCAATTTCAGAGCTGCTTTAACCCATAACAAACCCCAGGTTTCCCTAAATGAAGCTGGGACTTCTGCCAGCTGCAACTGCCCATTGAACCAAAATTAGAGTTACTGAGCATATGAAAAAGTAAATCTTTGAAGACAAGGCAAAAAGTAAAAAACAGAAATCCTAATGATCCTTAAATTCTTTTTAAGATAAAACTAGCTGCCAATAGACACAGAAGGCCATCAGTTACATTGTCAGGGTGAGAATGTAATTCACAAGACTTCTATAAAATCCCTTCTGGGTATATGCCAAAATATTCACCCCCCCTAAGTTGTCAATTAAGTATCAGCAAGTCATTTTACTAACTTAAAATGTAGCACTCCACTCTCCTCTCTGCATCACTGCAAGAGCCCTGCTGAGAGAGTATGTGTGTCTCTGAACTTTTCCATATTTAGGATCTACTAAACCTTATTATAACACACATCCTCTTTTATTATATAGACTGGCAATAAATGTTGGTCATGCTTGTTGGGGATATTGCATATAGAGCCACTTTATTCCAGCTTCAGTCTCCGATTTCCTATAATCGTATGGAATAGTCAATGAATAGACACATTGCTCCACCAGAGCAGTAATACAGTTGTTTTTCTTTTAGATAGGAGTAAGACATTGTTTTCAGCCTTTACACTTCTTGTTTGAGCAAAATTACCTGTGACTATCACACTCAATCCTGATCTTTTCTCAGTGAAATCTGCAATGTCTTAGTGCTTTCCTAATATTCATGAATGTATGCTTTCTTTCTCTCTGATTCTGAGATGATGTAATCATGGCTATAAGTCAAGAGTTATGTGGAGAAAGAAACAATAACACCAGGAAATGACAAGTATGAGCTGTGTCAGTGCATTTGTTCAGCAGGGCAAGGGAAACCATATCCTCACGGCTCTTACTCGAGCAACGCCTTTCACTTGACCTAAATTAAGCTGTTCTGCTGTTTCAGTGTAGCTTGGATTTCTCTTGAGTTTGGTTTTATTTAACCTACAGCAGAAGTAAGGTCTCTCCAGGGAATTAAAAATCTCTGGGGTTTTTTTATTATTTTAAAATCTCTGGTTGTTCGTTTTTGAGGGTTTTAAAATTATTTTTCTTTTTAAATGCTAAAAAGTTTACTGTCATAAGATATTATTATAACCAAAAACTTAACTGGTCTTAAAAAAAAAAAAACCCAACCAAGCCCTATTGGTTTAGGGCATAAATATCATAGAGGTTGGAAATAAATATCTTTGCCAGGCACATTATTCCATAATTATTTACTGGAGGGTTTCCCAGATGCTCCTTGGGAAAATATTTTACTATTAGACATGGGCTGAGGAAGAACTCTTTCTTCACCAGTGAGCAGCAAGAATCAGAGTTAAATTCTGACTTTCCAACATTTCTACTCTAAATGAAACTCAAAGACTCTGGGATCAAAAAATCTTTAAGAATCATTTTACTCACAAAATTTGTGGGAATGCATTCTGTACATAAATCACTTAAAATGCACACACAGCGCCTGACCCATTATCTCAGTTACACCCCGTGGAATTTTGTCCAAGGAGCACATCACCTTACAGTGCACAGCACCAGTCACCCTCCAAAACCTTGACACGCTTTGGGAACACTACGTGAGCAGTGCCATTAAAAAGGAAATATTGGCTTGGAGCTGAGCTAATGTGTTTTCCAAAGCACCAAGTGCCTGCGTTCATTACTGCTGAATGGGCAGAACCGATGACTTGTTAATGACTCTGTAACTCCAGCCTAATATGCTAATCTTGCTCATAAACAGGAAGGCAGCAGCACCATTGTTTACACAGCACTGATTAAATGGTACCTCAAACAATAATGAAAAACCAAGACTGAGGCTGCACAGGCTTTCAACTCTTCTCTCCCAGTCTCACTGGTTGTTACACTCTGCCACCACCTGAGTGAAACACTTCCGAGCAGCGCTCATAATCAAAATAAAGCCTGAGTGTAATGTGGACGAGCACTGAAGTTTTTTATGTGTATACATACAACATACTTATATATAACATCCTCCTTAGACTGCATCCCTTTCTTTGAAAGTATAAATATATGCAATTTTAAATCACTCCACTGGAAGATAATGGAGTGACAAGCAAGAGACTCCTAATACACTGATACCAACATTAGTAATGTCTGCTGCCCCAAAAGATGAGTGGGTGCAGCCATAGAAGCACTGATAGGATGAAACAGACACAAGATTGCACATAAGCTTGGATATCCTGGGCAGAAAGTGGATTAAATACCCTTTCCCAGCCCCCTGGAAAATCTATGGCCAAGGGGTCTGTTAAAGATCAAAAAACTAACAGAAAGAGCCAAAAGAGCTTCAATTTACCACTTAAATACCACACCTCAACCATTTACTAAGACTGTCCGGCTGGAAAATGTTCTTGCAACAGTACATTATGGATGCACATAAATTCATGATACAAAAAGAAAGACCTGAAATGATCTGACAAGTTATCATTGCATTATCACTGGAAGAGTTGGGAATAGAACTACTGCTTCCTCATTTGAAATTCAAGGTATGATTTCTGCAGTAAGCGTTTCATTATTAAAAATCCCCATATGCTCATTTTCTCAACTCTAGCTTTACATCAGCAAGTCAAGATGTATCAAGTGTTTGATTTTTCAAAAAGACCTGTGGTTGTTCAGCACTTCAAGGAAGAAAAAGAAAGCAGGGGGGAAAAAAAAAGAAAAGGAGACAGAGACAGAGAAAGTCTTTTGTTATCTCTGGGCTTCAATTCAGACATCTCTGGCATATGGTTCAATCAGACTACACTTTTTTGTGCTAGCTAGGAGAGACAAAAGCACAATCTCTTTAAAAGCTCCATGTATCCTCACTGAATTTCTACAGATTAAAAAAAAAAAAAAAAAAAAAAAAGAAATCTACATTTCTGCAGCCATATAATTCTTCTCCAGTTTAAAACATAAAAAGCACACCTGTCTCAAGAAATCCCCTTATACTTCACAAAACCACTTATTCTCTGGAGCAGAGAAACTGATGCACTTCTTTCAGCATTGCTTGCATGTCCTCGTATTCTGCAAATTTGCAGGCATCCTCCAGCTTCAGCCACTGGAAAGCCTGGTGCTCCTCCGACAGCTTGACTTCTGTGTTGCAGTCCTTCATTTCTGCCAGCCAGTACACGACGGTCTTGGGCTTGCCATGGACAGGGTAGTGCAGCTCTTTTCTGTAGCCCTCGATGAGGGTGAGCTGGCTGGCCTGCAGACCAGCCTCCTCCTGTGTTTCCCGGAAGGCTGTCTGCAAGTCATCCTCCCCAGGGTCCACGTGGCCTGCCAAGAGGGTGGAAAAGTGAATCTCTGGGAAGGAAACTCCCGTTTTGCTTTAATCAGGAAACACTGGGAGGCAGAAATGAGAGTACATGGTAGCTGACACAGGATGAAATGGAAACTGGAGAAGAGAGACTGCTTTTCTACATCTTATGTCTTGATTAGTCTTTGTCTTGTGGCTTTTAGGATCACTGTTTATCCCTCACCTCCTGAAACTTCCATTAGCCTCTCAGCATCAGACATCTTTTCTTCTCACTCCTCCTCTCCACTTCTCGAGTACCCTACACCCACAAAGTTCCACCTTAGATTATACTGAGGACTGAGTCCCTCATTTTTCTTTCATCCAGTAAGAGCAGACACAGGTCATCTGAGAGTCTTAATCCTCTCTCAACCATGTCCTCTCACATAAGCTTAAGGCTCAGTTCTGCAAAACTCTTAGTTGTGCCAACAGCCCAGAAACAACAGGACCAGGCACAGACATGTACCATTTAAAAGGTGCATTTCATTAAGGCAGCCACGGATTTTTTCTCTTCCATACTCCCCTCTAAAACAAGCAACAAGTCTAAAAGCCAGTCCTTTCTCCAGCTGGGTAGTTCTTCTAGGACACACCATTTATTTTATGCTGCTCAGAACGAGAGGTGCCACTACAAACAAGGGATAAATATAACACATCCCCAGCCATTTGTACTTTTGTTGAGAAATGTCAGATTTGGTTTTCTCATGAAAGCTCCGGACCAGAACATAAATAGAACAAGCCAAGCAATACCTCAAAAAAGCAACATAGCAGGAGCTGGGACATTTTGGGAGGTAAAAAAAGTTTAAGCTCTATTCTGTCCCTGGTGTCACTCTATTTTCTATGTAGCTGGCTCCAAATAGCTATAATTTCATCACAGAGATTAATTGTTTCTGAGGTCTCAGATACCCAAAGAGCCCTTTTAGTACCACAAAAAGTTTGTTTTGCCTTTGCAACAGGTCCAACTCACCTCCCTGTCTGTGTACCAAAAGTGTGAACACCTCTTACAACATGACATTACCTCAAATATAAAATACCCTTTTCTTTCAAGCAGCCACTGTGCAGAAAACACCATCTGATGTTGATACCTGTTGATGCCTGTTGATAACCTCAGTTCTAAGCTCAGTAAGTTGCTATGTTTGTGCAGTACAGTCTACCTGCAGAGCAGAAAAAGGACTGCAGGCAGCACCTCACACACCACAGCTTTCAGATCCTCCCACCTGTTCCCACTGGCACAGTTCTAATAGATTGAGAGGGAAAATAAACCCTACATCCCCTTCCTATCAGCCTCAGCTAGAGCAAAGTCACAGTTCAAAGGGCAGAGATAGGGCTGATGAGGTTCATGTGAGGGGATCCAAGCAAGTCCAGTTTAAATCTAAAGTTTAGAGAACTTTTAAAATAACAAGTTACAGGTGTAGCCATAAACTGCCTTTTGTGTGTGCTTTGAGAGACAATTACAACTTCTCCTTCTGGCTCCTGCCCCATGGAATCTATGTCAACATCACACACATGTCACCACACTGCACATCCCAGGGCCACCCTGGAAGACCACAGATACTATAAAATGGAATAGCTTCTCTTCATTAAATTCCCCCAAATCAACACCAAGCTTCTATTACAGGCCACCATCAGATTGTGGTCTTTGATCTCTAAAATCTGAAGCAGTGTGTTGAGGGAGGTGATTCTCCTCCTCTGCTCTGGTGTGACCCCACCTGCAATGCTGCATCAATCTCTGGAGTCCTCAGCAAGGGAAGGACATTCACCTGCTGGACTGAATTCAGAGGAAGCCATGAATATGATCAGGGAGTGGAGCACCTCTGCTTTGGAGACAGGATGAGAGAGTTAGGGCTGTTCAGTCTGCAGACGAGAAGGCTCTGGGGGGACCTTAGAGCCCCTTCGGGTGCCTAAAGGGTGGTGGTTTGTAAGAAAATTGGGGACAGACTTTTGAGAAGGGCTCCTGCTTTTCATCTAGGAGCGGGCAGACTAAGACTACAGACAAGAAAGACTTGCTTTTACTGCGAGGGTGGTGAAATACTGGCACAAGTTTCCCAGAGAAGCAGTGAGTGCCCCATCCCTGGAAACATCCAGGTTGGACAGGACTCCGAGCAGCCTGCTCTAGTTGAGGATGTTCCTGCCCATTGGTGGGGGCTTGGACTACACAACCTCTAAGAGTCCCTCCCAGCCTACACTATTCCATGACTCTAGGTGTGTGAGATGTGTGCTTGAGACAATTAGCTCCCTACCAAAACGGCTATAAATAATTTAAATCACTTTGTCCAGAATTACTGTGTTCCCAGGGATCCTTTGACAAGGGTTTCTTCTCACAACAATCAATCATGTCCCAGCAGATGTTTTTTAGCTTTCCACTAGGCTGGAAACTCAACTCCCTTAGGCTCTTGGTGGAATAGATAAAGGGGGAGGTTTGGAAAGTTTTGTTCTTTCCCTCAATAGAAGAGCCTAGCTGACACTGTTAAAATATTTTTTTTTCCTCCAATTTGCAAGTTCTTGTTTATAAACTGCTGCACCATGCTTTGAAAGTGACACATTTTACAAAATAAGAAGCAAAAACTATCAGGAAAAAAATCTCAGGTGGTAAAAAACAGCCTGCAAGAAGATCTACAGGGAACCTGAAGTACTTTCTGTGCTGCACTTTTCCTGGTACCAGGGCTGTGACTGTGTACTACCAAACACTGGCTCTGCCACATGCCTTTACTGAGGAGGTGCTACTCTCTCCTGGGACACAGGGCTTGTTTTCTGCTCTGAGGCCTCACTGATGACCAAGAACAGCTGGTAAGGTTAATTCTCCTATCTGTCCCTCTCATCCCTATTGCTTTAGGCAAGTGATCTTCATCAATGCACCTGCATCTCCTAAGAAGGGTGCATTCAAGTGTTCTATTACAGATTCTAGTTTGCCTTCCTGCAGACTGTGACCACAGTCCTGCAGCCTCTGATCACACGTGGGTCAAACAATCCTGCACTGGCAGCATTGCAGGTGCTTGGCAAAGGATCAGACCCAAGACAAGAAGGCAGAACACCCCCTCATTACCTCGCTCCAGTGGTGTGCACATCTTGCCAGAAACATCAGATACCTGAGGAGCTCAGCTGGGTGACAGCCCCTGCCCCAGCCCAGATCAGTTGTGCCCAACATTTGGTACAGCCACAACCTGCAGAGGATTTCAGCCTCAAAACTGCCCCCTCAGTTGTGTCAGGAGCACCACCAGACAAACAGCACAGCCAGCAGCTACTCTCAGGTGGTAACTGCCCCTCTAAACTGACCTCAGCCAAAATCCTCTCTGCAGCCTGACACCAATGACCTCCAGGAGTGTTACCAGCAGAAAAATCACCTTTGGGCGGGGTCCAGTGGTGGGTCCCGTAGGATGTCTGAAGCAGAAGGTACTCGATGCTGTCAGTGACCTTAGAGGATGGTGCTGGCTGCAGCCTCCTGTAGATGATCAAGCCACAAGCTCTCACAGCCATTCCCCTCTGCCAACTGCACCAGGAGCTGCAGAACAGCACAAAACATGGGGCTTGAACACACCAGCTGTATTTAACCAGAAAACAGATGGCTCAGCACAGTAAAAAAGTTGCCCACCCCTCTGAAGTTAATACAGAATTAAATTGTATATTATTAGCTACATTTGAATTGTAAAAAAATTTTCTTCGTTATCAAGAAGCATGAAAAATTACCTGCATGTCATGTCTTTGCTGTTGATAAATTACAAACCATATTGCAGGGAGGGGAAAAAAATTACAAAGCAAAAGGAAAGCCACAGATTAACACTCTGAAACTTTTCCACTGCAAACCTGCAAAGGCCCTGAGCAGAGGTAATACCTCACCATTACTAGAACTGGCATATGGAAATAATTGCTCTGGACATTTGCCTGGAGCACAGGACTTCTCAGGATATCGGGGCAAAGCTGAGAATGAATGACAAAGGACAGGCTCTCTGCTGTCACACCTAGACGTAAGGCTGTCATACAAAACTAGAAGTTTCTTAGCACGCGTGTTAAGCACTGATTTGTTGTAAACAATAAGGAACACACCTCTTCAGTGATAAATATTGTCAGCAATAAGCTACGCAGGCAGCATGAAGAATCCTACAGAGAAAAAGAAGCAATGGAGATGAGTAAGCCATGCTACAAGTCTGGCCGATTCCCAGCTCCGGCCAAAGCTTTGCATTCTGACAGAGAGGCATAGTTCAGTAAATAACTTTACAGAACACCGTATTTTCCTGGGGCGCCAAGAGCGGCATCGTGACACCTCCAGCTTCCAGCACGGGAAACCAGAGCACGGAGCCACCAGCCGCCAGCCACGTCCCTGGACGACGAGCAGCGCTTTTGCTCAACCACTTCAACCACTTCCTTCAGCTCCCGCCTAGCTCCTTTAGCTCCGCCACAACAAGGACAACAGCCCCGCTGCGGCGCCCTCAGCCCCGCGGCCAGCCCGGGGAACCAGCACCACCTCCCGAGCGCGCCTGGAAGGACAAGGACAAATCCCAGCGGGGCCCCGGCGCCTGGCGGCACGCGGCCCGCTGCCCTGCCCTCTCCTCGCCGCCCGCAGATGGTCACTCCCGTGCCCAGGGATGGGGACACCGGGATCCCCAGGGATGGGGACACCGGGACCCCCACAGCGGCCACCATGAACCCCCGCCCTCACCTCTGCTTCCGGGTCCGGCAGTGGGCGGGACGCGGAGCATGATTGGCGTCGGCATTAACCAATTGCAGCGGCAGTGCCTAGGCCGGTAGCTACTCCCTTCTCGTCCCGCCCTCCAGCCTTCCCTTAGGCCCCGCCCCCATGCCCGAGAAGGCCTCGGATTGGCCTCTAGCGGCCGGGAAGTGCCCTGCCCGCCCCTCTCCCCTCTCTCTATTGGCTGGCTGTGCGCACGAGGCTGCGCGCGGGCGTTTGAAGCGGGAAAAGCGTTGTTGCCATGGAGACGCGGCTTAATGGCCGCCGCCGAGCGGCGCCGCGGCCGGTGAGTGAGGGGGGACCCCAGCCCTGAGGGGACGGGGACAGCTGGGTCGGGAAGGGCTCTAGGGACATCGCCCTGGCCGGCCCCACCGGGCTCTACACGAGGAAAAGTCGTGGTGGGACAGCTCCGGGAAGGATGAGACGTGTCCCCCCTTCAGACACGCGGTGCAAGTCCGGACGCGTGGCGGTTTGTTTAGCTACATTTTTGTAGTTATAAAATATTTTTCAATTATGTGTTTTTTATATTTTACAGATAGCGCATAATTTGTATTACATGTAAAATATGTAAGTGCAATTAAAAATACATATTTATATAAATTATGTAAAATATATAAAATACTTAATTATTATTTAAAATATATTTTATTATTTTTTATGTAATACCTACGAAATATATTTTTTATGTTTGTATGTTTTTAAACTTAAGTAAAACTTTGAAATTATTAAAGAAACCCTGAGGGACATTTGGGAGACCCTGCTGGGAGGATGAGCTCAGGCAGGATTTTCAAATAATTGGCACTTTGCCATAACTCGTGGGTTATTTTCTCGGCCCATGGTTGAATACTGGACACTTCCAATATTCAGTATCCCAATATTGGACACTTCCCCTTCTCCATGCAGCTGTTGCTGGCAGCTGTTGGGATCAGCTGCAGGATGGAGCCTCTTCTGCTGAGGTCACCAGGCTATAATTAGTATGGAGAGAGGAATGAAATACTCTGACATGCTTTGTGGGGAAACAAAAAAATCTCCAATATTTATTTGTTTGTCAGCCAGTTTTAGTGACATTGGTTAGTATGGACAGAGCAACACAATAGTCTGAAGTGCTTCCTGGGGAAACAAGAAAATCCTTAATGTTTAGTTGTTTGTAAGGCAGTTTTAATGACATTAATTGTTTTAGTAACTTCCTCAAGGTATGTCAGTGGCAAAGGAAACCCCCGTTTCTTACTTGTTGCTGCAAGCAGCAGACCTGTGTCAAGCTCCAGCTGTAAAATAGCTTTAAAACCATTTAGCATTAAAACCATTAAAACCTCTCCAGTTACTTTTGCTGTACTGAAGCTGTAAGTGGTTATCTATGTCAGTGTCCAGCTTCAAAACAGCTGAGCACTTGTTCCAAGGAGCAGTGGAATGTTTAATGCCCTGTTGTTTACGTGCAGGGTAGAGTAATCCTATGATCTTCCAGAGGGATCTGCTGCAACGTCAACCACGGCTTCACAAAGCCCTACCTTTTGCATTAAGCTAAAATTTTGGGCTCATTTTACAGCACAGATTCTCTCTTGTTGTGGAGCTTGTCTTAAAAAAGTGCTGCTGCAGTTTGACGCTGTTCTTCACAGGAAAGCCCTAATTCCCAAGGAATGGGGTCAGAATGATTAAAGGTAAAGCATTTTGTGTGGTGCTCTGGGAAAGCAAATTAGCCATTCACTTCTGGAGGGTTAAATCAGATTTAACTTTGGATCACCTTAAAAAAAAGAGCTTAATGTTCAAATGAATAAGGAATGAAGATGGATGGGTAGTGACAAGAATTAATACCTTTCCCTTTTCCCTGTTCATTCTTTGCTTCTGTATTTCAAGAAACTTTGCTTCTGTATTTCAAGAAACCTGGAAATTCTTTGGCATGAGTAGAACCTGTGATGAAGTGCTGAAGTCTTTTTTGTACAAGTAACAAGTACAGTGTAGACCATTGCTGCTGTAGTTGCTATCAGGAGAAAGCACCCACCTGCTACACACATTTACAAACTCTTCAAGCTCTTAAGTTTTATTTTTGTAAGGTACTTGTAGAAGACAATGGCTTACACAGAAAACAAGGTGGTATTTATGTTTTGTATGCTGATTAACAATTTCTGTGTTTGTCAAATACCCTTGAAAATCGTGACTTATAAAATGATTTCATAACCAGGCCAGGTTTTATTATTTAGAGTGATTACCTTAGCCTATATGCAGGACAAAATGTATCATTTGCATCTGTAGGAATGTCACTTCAGATTTGTTCACTTTATTTTCCTAATTTGAAGAATAGATATAATGACACTTGTGTTCTCTCTCAGTGGTGACACTCAGGAAATTGTCTAAATCTAAAACTGACACTCTAAATTGTCTAAAATTGCCATGTGAATATGAGTGAGCTACAGTGGGGTAATAGGACATATGGGGGTTACTCAAGTGAGTGGGGTGCTGAGATGTTTAATAAATCAGAAGTTAATAATGATCAAGGTATAGTGGGTCAAGGCTGCTTTATTCTTAAAATAATCTCTATGGGGCTTTTACATAATTTATTTTATACACAGTGATTGACACTCATCGAGCACCTTCGAAGACCTTTCCTCCACCTTGAAAAGTGCATTGAGAAGGAAAAGATCTTGTGAAAGAGGTAATTAATAATTAAAAGCATTTTAAAATGGAGAGTCAGCTCTTAGAGCATAATTTTGTTGTAAGTTAATTTCCTTCAGGACAGAAAAATGTAACCACTCCTTCCTATTATTTACACCTGACTTTTCTGTTTCTCATCAGCTTTATGACCTTTGAAAAACCTCTTATACTGAAGCTGAGGAAGATTTCTCTTATGACAAACTGCATTCTAATACTATGGCTAAGCTGGTTTCTTTTATATATAATTCTAATGCTTTTTTACAATAAGCACTTACACATTACCAGCATCTGGAAGCCTTTTAAAATCTTTGTAAGACATCTTGGCATAAGAAACAAGTTGTAGAGAACTCATGTTTGTCACATAGAGGTGTGAGGCTGGGTGCACGTGGAGAATTATACCTCCACACTCACCTCTTTCTCAAAGTATGTTATATCCAACTATTTCAAGAAGTCCTAGTCCTTTGTCTCAACCCTGTTTTCAGTGAAGCTACCCATATCTTTGTGGGGAACAAGACCTAGGTTTTGGTATGAAAATACCACAGTAAAGAATGGTATATTTTTCTGCCCCATGACATGTTATTCTCATGGGTGAACAAACAAATAACTGAGGAAATGCTGGCTGTTACCAGACTAAAAGTCTTCTGCCTTTTTTTTTGCCAGAAGATGGCATTAACAATTTAGGATTCTTGAAAACTTCCTCTTAGTTTTCACAAAGCAAATTTATTTTGATGAATTGTTTATCTGTTAAAAAAAGCATCTTCAGACACAAAGATCTCCACAGGGTTAGATGAATTAAAGTATTCTTTCAATAAGGAGAAAGTTATCCCTTTTTTTAGAGCATCAGTGATTGAAAGGTGAGAAGAGTTTCACTGGCAATTGCAGTTTTCCCTGAGTTCTTTCATGTTTGAACCACACAAAATCTTTTAGCAATTGTCTGCTCTTGAGTATCACAGTGATCAAAAATGCTGATCTTCTAATTATGCCAACCCCTAATTTTTTTCCTGTGGTTAATTAATTTGTTACTCCTTTATTAGTGAACTGGGGTTTTTTCCCCTAGCTTGTGAAATTCCTGTCCTGTCAATAAGGAGTTGGTGGGGTTATCCCTGAAACCTCTTAGACCCAGTAAGATTTATTCTGTCTGGAAAGGCAGATCTCAATTCTTATTAGGAGGCCAGGTCTCATTAAGAAACCATTTCATTGCTTTCGCGTGGCACAGAGCCTTAGCCAATTAGACACAGAGAGCTGCTTACATTGCTCTTGTAGGTTCTGCAGTACCTACATTATTTGGATTTTCTTAATGCTGAGAATTCTTCTGACTTGTCACTCCATATAATGACAGCCTGTAATTTCTAGCTATTTAAATATATTTTATTACATTTTTAATTACAACCTTGACCTTCACATTTGTAACTCTCTTCCCTTGTATGCTGAGTTTTTTTTAGAAAGTGTCTCCATTGTTTCTGTTTTTATTCTTTTTTCTCTCTACTGTGCTCACCATTATAATTTGAACAGAGGTTATGACTGAATTAGGGTCTTTGGACACTCTGTATTTAATATAAGGATCTATAAAGATGTAGGTATAATCTAGGATACAGATAGAGAGTAGACAAAGTAAATTTATTGGATTATTTTTGTCTTTAACAGATTCTCAACACTTTTGAGATTGGTATCTTGGCCTTGAGTTCTAACTGCTTTTTTCATCAAACAGAAGAAGTTTCCCATGGCAGTGCATACAGAGAGTTGCACAGCACCTGTACTGGTTTTACATCCAAAGCTATCTTATGTAAGAAAGGGGATTTTTCCAAAATGTAATTCTTTAAATGAACTCTCAGGTTCCTGTGTATTTTAATATGTTAGAGAAGTTGGCAAGTAGTGAATGCTTGTGAAACCCTTGCACACATTTGGTATTTAGTCTCTCTGCTCTCTGGGTTTGCTGTCCTCTTGTCAGTTTTGATTTCCCCCTCCCAGGATCTATCAGCCTCAGCAGTGACTCTAACTTTACCTCAGGATTCAAAATCACATTATCTACACATTAAATAAATTCAGTTACATGTGAATTTTTTGGTCTTGGAGTTTGTTGTTGTTGAGTCTCATGATTTTACCTAAAGCATGGACTCTAAGTCATTTTAGATGTTCTCTACTGTACATGTTGGCCTCTGTAGTATCTTACACAGTCAGCATTTTCTATATTAATCCATATGATTTTATTGTTATTACTTCAACATAATGTATTAATTAATGACATGGACTCAAATTTGGGGATGACGTTATTTTCTTGTATAATGTTATTGTAGAGAGCCTTGAAAATCCTCACAAAGAATCTACCCTGAACTACAGGGAGAAAAACTTAAATAATTCATTTTTGTTGAGGCTTACTGTGACCTCCAAACATGAGTAAGGGCAGTATTTGTTAAGGTCCTAGACTGAACAAAGATATGAGAAGGCAGTGGACAACAAATACTTGAAGTGCTATCATTTTTGTATTTTATGGAAGAAATAAAAATATCTGCAGATACTAATCCATTGGGATACAGACAGCTGCACCATGCATTGCCAGTAAGACATAAGTGAAGAAGTTGGGGGATTTGGGGCATACTTTTCAGTGATTCATGTTTCTTTTTTGGGTTTCCCAAGAATGCAAGTATGGCATTCCAGTGGCATATATAGATTTAGAGAAATGCTGTCTTTCAGATTTTGCAGAATTGTTTTTTTTGGTTTTTCTGTCAAGGAGACTCAGAAATGCTCAGAGGATTCATGACATAAAAGAGAAAAGTACACAACAAAACTGCAACTTTTCTATAGGTGATCTGTAAGATGAATGGTCTTAATTAGGCAGCTTGAAGTGAGGACAAGTGCAATTTTTTCTCCACTGGTTAGTTAACCAGGGGTAGCTGACCCACATTAGACCATGTGCCTTGATATTAAATTGACTGTCTAAAATTAGGCATTTTACATTCTATAGCTTGAGGACAGGGTTTCAGTAGCTGTGGCATTCATCAAGTAGACATCAGGCATGTAGGAGCTCTGTGGCAGTGAGTAATATTGTCTTGTGCATTTCTTACATGTTGTGTATTTTATATAATTTTAAAATATAGTTTCATAGATAAAATATGTGTTTCATGTTTTACTTTATTGTTGTTATTGCTATTTTCTTTAGTGTTTGTCAGTCTAGTGTATGGTAAACTTGGAGTTAAACAAGCTTCTAGCCAGCTGCAAGTAATGGCATCAGGAAATGTGCAGTTTCTTCATTAGTAACTTTGTCAGATGTGATGTTTCTTATGATTCTGATGTTTATTTTGTTTGATTTCTTGTAGGCTCTAGGTTGAAGATGGCATCGTGCCTTTATGAATGCCTTTGTGAAGCAGAACTTGAAAAATATTATCCCCACTTTACTGCCTTTGGTCTTCAGAAAATTGATGAGCTTGCCGAGGTTTCCATGGAAGATTACACCAAACTGGGGGTCCATGATGCAAATGACCGCAAACGTCTTTTCCAGCTCATTAGAATAATCAAAATTACACTGCAAGAAGGCACTGCAGACTTAAGCAAGGAGGATTTTCAACCACGTGGCCTTTTCGTGCAGCCTCAGGTGACTAAGTCAGGACCCCGTAGACAGCTGCGTTTCGAGTCCTTTTGTGCAGAAGATGATGGAGCAGCTAAAGACACTAAATCTGAATTGTGTCAGTCACCCAATTTCAGTGCCAATGAAGAGAAGGACAGTGTAGGGGAAGACATTCCACCACACGATTCAGAGCCGATCAGATTAACTAGAAGAGACGTAAATATTCCTGGAATAGGTACAAAAAATGACCTGAGCTGTCCAACAGTTTCTGATGATATTGCCCCTCTCCTGGGCGATTCTGAAGTTCCTATTGTACAAAGAGTGACTCATATTTCAGGGTACAATTATGGACTACCTCATTCCTGTATCAGGTAATAATCACTCACCTTTATTTTGCTAATACTTCAGGTTAATCATAATTGATTCTTTCTTAATTGTGGAGCAGAATTTGTCTTCCTCACCTCCAAATAAGCAATCCAAGCACTACAAAGCAATGCAAAGTCTTACAGACAAGAGAGATATTAATAGGCATTTCCAACTCTCCGAGTCTCATAGAAGGAATCATCTGAATTTGACCAGCTGCTACTCACCAAGGTTGTCTAAGAATAGTCTTTATTGTCTTTCAGGATTTAGGGCTTTCTTTTCTTGATATTTGAGCCAATCTTTGTCTTTCAGGATTTAAGACTTTCTTTTCTTGATATTTGAGCCAATCTTTGTCTTTCCATGGGACCATTTTTTAAAACATTATTTTTCCAAAATATAGCATTGCCTGTTGTTAAATTTGTCAAGCTTTTCTTGGTAAAAAGGATACAAGCTGTGATGGCTATATTTGTTTATAAAGAAATTTCTGAACTGAAGCTTTAAAAGGAAGGAAAATGAATGCAGCTGGGAAGGATTACAGACCTGATGGTGAGAGGGATGCCTTGCAGCTGCTCCTTAGTCATGTGATCTGTAACTTCCATACTTTTCCCAGTGTTTGGTACTGGAGGGGCTGGGGTTATCATGAACCACTGGTAAATCTACTGTAGCAACATTTTTAAAGCACTATTTTTTTCCTGATTCACCAGCAGAGCAAGTATGCCTCTGCACACACAATAGCAGTATCTAGCTTTTGCAATGCAGTCATGGTAGTTAATATGCAATGAAAAGAGGCAGTTTTATGAAGTTAGGTCTGGTCTGGGAAGGCTGTGGAGAAAGATTTGGTACAGGGAAAGATCCATGGAGTTGAGGTGTCAATTACAGCTCCCACCTGGAGTGCATGTAGCCTGGAGAGATAGATGCTGTTGCCACAGTGGAAAAGTACTAAGGTGACGTAGTAAGTAGAGCACTTAAACTGTGAAAGGCAAGGCAAAGGTTTATCACTCTCCTTGGCAGGAAAAAAAAAATCATTCCCACTTTCTGGAGAAGTGCACTAACCTCCAATATATATTGATACCTGGGTGCATTCTCTGTCTCTTCTGGAAGATGAGCCAATGTGCAGCTAAAAGGATAGGATTTATAATGCTGGCAAATTAAAAAATTGTACGTTATTAAACCTAATGGCTAAAGTAAAGGAGTTAAAGATTTTTAATCCTGCAATAGAGACATGTTCTTCATTGTTCTCTCTTTCCTTGTTCTCTTCTTTTGCAAGCACATTCTTCTGTGCCAAGCATTATGGCTCATCTTGGGGGCTTTCTGCATCCTCCTCCTGATATGCCTCAACTTAATTTTCTCGTGTTTGGAGAGTTGTGCATTTCAGGCAGGCTTGGAGCAGCATGCTTACACTCAGGTTTGTGATTCCTGTTTTGCAAGTGCTTAACTGCTTCGCTGAATCCATCCATTCCCATGGCACCTTGTGGTTTGACCACTGTGAAGGCTTACCTAGTCTCATCTATGAGAAATATTGGAAAACACAGATATGATTTCAGATAGGAGAAAGACAAAGTGCTCTTTTAATATGTTTAAACTTGCCCACAGCAAATAACTTGATTATGCGACGACATAATTGTCCTTCTGACCTATTAGTCAGATTTCTGATGATCTGTGTCATGACTGTTGTTTGATTTCTTTTTCCTAGTAATGAAAAATGATTTTATTGTAAAATACAATTTATATTTTAAGAGTTAGTAAGAAATACAAACTTTGGGTTCAGCATATAGAATTAATGTTCATTCTATTCCCATACAAAATATACTCAACAAAATGTTCCTCTGTACTAGAAAAAATTTATTCCTTTTTTCTCATTAATAGAGTCTCTAAATTTTCAGGGCTTTTTTTCTCCAAATCCTGCCATCCTTTCTGCTTCAAGCTCTTAGAGCACAATGGCTCTTGCTGCAGGTCACCAATTACACCCTCTGGCACAAGAATTAAAATTCAGAGCCTCCAATCATTTGTTGGACAACATTTGGTGCCTAGTGATATGCATAAGCTCACACCAGCTTATGAAGCATCTTATTTCAAGTGTCACTGCCTTTCTTCTGTGACAAAAGAATTTTCCATCTAAATGCACAGCCTGATCCTGGATTGCACAGGAAACCTGTACTAAAATTAAAGGGACTCTAGTGACAAGTAAAGATTGCTCATGTGTGGTCTTCAAAGACATATCTTGAGATTTAAATCTGCATCTCATGTGCTTCTGGGGAATCGTGGAGCACAACAGCAATGATACCACAAGTCTGTGGATGTTAATGAGATGTTGAGTAACTTGAGGGTTACAATTTGTTAGACAGCTGGAATATATGAGTTTTCAGTTGCTATGCTAAGAGATTTTGGCACCTGGACAGTGTGGCAAAAACACTGCTTTTGGGCAAGTTGGGGCTTGATTATTTGAAATGCAAATCCAGGCTGAAAATCATTACTGATTTGGCTGAAGACAGTTTGAAGAATAGGCTAGAATTAACTTTGGTTAATTCTAGCCTATTCTATTCACAAAATGCTGTACACAGCAGGTTAATCAGTGAAACATGAAATTACCTCTTGTTTCTGAGGTGTCTGGAAGGGGACTAAAGTAAAATTGCTGAAACATAAGAGCACAACTTTGTTTATGGTCTAAAACCACATAACCTTTTTATGAAAAAAGACCAAAAGGAATACAAGGATGAGATCAGTTTTTTTTTTTGGTTTTTTTTTTTTTTTTTTTTTTTTTTTTTTTTTTTTTTTTTTTTGAGCTGAACAGGACCATGGTGATACTATCTCATTTGCCAGTTTGAGTCATTTACTTGTAACCATTTGGACAGTCTATAATGGGAAGAAAAAAGTCCAGCATGAGAGGAAAAGCAACTAAGTATTGTATCTTTTCTTTTTCAAGATTGATTAATACTTCCATTGTACATGATTAAGTGACTAATCATGAGTGCAAATAATTTCACAAGATTAAATTTCATTATATTAACTTGGATATGATGCCAGCTTCCATCTCATGTTTGTGTACAACTGAAAATATGTCAGTCCAGCAGCAAGTTCAAGAGTGTAGCTGTACCAGTTCAGGAGTGTAGCTGTACAAACATAACTATTCCTTTAACAGAAGTGTACAGGAAGCACCAGTCTGTTTAGGAAAAAGCATCAGAAACTGCATCATGTAAAAATGAGGTGTGTTAAGGAGTTTTCTGATAGGCACTAACAACAGAAACATTCTGTGATAAATGTAACAAATTCAGGCATATTCTAGATTCTGTTGTAACTTGATTTTAAAATGCGGACCTCCATTATTGTTGTAGATCCAATACTTTCGACAAAGAGACTCCATGGACAGAGAGTGAAAAAATCAGAGTGTGTGTCCGAAAACGTCCTCTCTGCCTGAGGGAGGAGAGACGTGGGGAGGCCAATATAATCACAGTGCAAGATCAGGAAACCCTGCTTCTCCACGAGAAGAAGGAGGCTGTTGATCTTACACAATACATTTTACAGGTAACATCCTCCATTGGAGGTTGTGTTTATGGGCCAGTCACTTGCATGGAAGGATAAAGCTTATTGTGCCTGGAGTTTCCATGAGTGAAAACAGAAAAGGACTGTTAGTATTTCTTACACTGAAATAGGTGGTGGGATTTTGTTTTAGCTCAGAGTTGTCTATATTTGAGTTGCTTCTGATTTATGCCAGACCGTGCCAGCAAACCTGAGCCCAGAATTTTAAGGTCTGGAAGTATGTCTCTTGGAATTTTATTTGTATGTGGCAAAATAAGCCCACTGCTGCATGCCATTGCTGCAGGAGAAATGCCTGCTGATGGCTTTCCAGGGTACTTCAGTGAGGAGTTCCCTTTCCACTGCTTCAGCACTGCAGGTCTGTTTTAATGAATCATACACACCCTCATCCCCTTCCTCCTTTCTATTTTTCTCAAATGCTTTTGAAAATTAAGTTCCCTTTTGTCTTTGTCTCTTAATCCCAAATAATCTGTGCTGTCATAGTTCAAATTCTCACTGTGACTGACAGCACCAGGAACAGAAATTATTTGTAGAAGCAGCAAGCTATTCTCACTCTCCTGAGTGTTATTTTTACAATCTGGACCCTAGTAACAACTGTCTGGAGTATCTGGTAAAATTTCAGATCTCTTTCAGGCCCAGCTCATGTACCACCTTTTACAGTGGGACACATGCTGAATCATTTCCACAGACCCTGCTTCTTTGAGTCTGATCTGGAGTGTAGGAAGTTCTGATTTTCTTGCCCCCTTTTGCTTAGGAACAGCTTCTTTCTTCTCTGGCACAAAACTTTTTAAGAACAGAGGCAATTAATCACAACTAAGTCACAAGTGAGAACTAATTTTGAGAGATTCAAGAGCTGAGTCTCAGTTCTTTTTACTGTTACAGTCTGACAGTACGTCTGTAGGCTGATTCATTTCATGAATAGGTTTTCTTTAATTAGCTTTTTTTTGTTGTTTCTTGTTAAAAGGCTCTGATATGTTATGCTTCAGAGTGATGGGAAATTGAGGCATTTTTGTTTCCTTTTTTTTTTTTTATTTACCCCTAGCCTGAATCTCTTGACTGGTGTGCTGCTACATGAGTTGTGCTGCATATTAAGTGTGCTAAATCACTCTCTACCTAATCCAAAGCCGTATGAAATCACTGGAAAGATTTTCATTATTTCATTTTACCTTTGAATGGAGTTGGAGGGGAAGTGAAACATATTCATTCTCATGTAAAGATTATCTTTTTTTTTCAGCATGTTTTTTATTTTGATGAAGTCTTTGAGGAGTCATGTACCAATCAGGATGTGTACATGAAGACAGCTTATCCTCTCATTCAGCATATTTTAAACGGGTAGGGCACCAGTGCTTACATTGGTTATTTTTTGTTTTGTTGTTTTCCAATTTTATGTGTATGCCTGAATTTCCCTTTATGCTTTTCATCTTTTGTAACATACCTCCATTTCACGTCTGCCACATGCCTTTCCCCTTTCAGAATATCTTTGATTGCAATTTTGACAAAAATAAATCAGGGAAAACTTTCTTCACACTAGGCGACAAATCTCAATTAAAGAAGAAGGTTAAATTGAACCTCAGTGGCCACAAAGTGACCAAAGCATGGTCAGCCTAGAATAAAAATGTGTCCCAGGGTTTCTGAGCTCTCATCTTCACTCTAACAAAGGCTCCTGTGTGGCAGAGCACACTCATCTGTAGAGAAATAATGTTACCTCTTTCCTGAGACTACTGAGAGATAATTTTACACGTATTTGTACAGTTCACAAGGTAATAGTAATTATGAATAACCTTGTGATTTGTTTTTATTGATTTATATTTGCATAGAGGTTTAATTGTAATTACATACTTCCTGATTAATGGGAAATTTTTGGTGGCTTTACATGAGACATCTTACCGCTATGCAAGGTTATATATATATATATATATATATGTATAATATATACTTTAATATAATTACTTTTTTGAGTCTTTGAAGGTAAGGATTACATATCCATGCTGAAAATTAACAAAATGGAGCATTCTGTTACTGAAAATCTTCAAGTGTCATCAACAGAGTATCATGCTCTTGAGAAAAGGAAAGTGAGAAAGGAGAATGAGACTTGTACCTTGCTGTGTAATAATCACTAAAGCCACAATTCACATTATCCTTAGTCCAGTAATGCCACCAGAAGAGATTATGCTGTTTTTTCCCAGCTTTCCCCTTACTTTTCCATCCCTCCTGCTGACATTCATTTAATCTGACGCCATGGCAAGGACAGTCTGCAATCTAAACTGGCAAGAAGTTGTTTGCTGTGATTACTGCAGCCCTACCTTTTTACCCATTCCTCTGCCAGGAGTACTGAGCCAGGTACAAAGTCTTTTTTTTAAGAGGGACAGGAAAAGGAAATGGAAAAGGAAAAGGAAAAGGGGAGAGCCAGCACCTTGTGCCACATCAGATCTCCATAGGGTATACTTGGAAATCATTGTTGAGCATTCTGCAGTTTCCCAGAGAGGGTAGTAGACCAAACTTGATTGCTAAGGGGCCACTATAGACAGATACCAGCATTGCAGGATATTATTTAATAGATATGAATGAATCAAATGTGGCACTAAACGCATATGCTGTCTTCACAGAGGCAATGCAACTTGCTTTGCATACGGGCAGACTGGTGCTGGCAAGACTTACACCATGATAGGGAATCACCGGAACCCAGGACTCTATGCCCTGGCTGCTCAGGACATCTTTAGGCACCTGGAAGCATCACCATCCAGAAAAGATCTTGGTGTTCTGATCAGTTTTTATGAGATCTACTGTGGACATCTTTATGACCTGCTAAATGGAAGGAAAAGGTATTTAAGTAAAAACATTATTTCCTACAAGCCTGTGGTTGTGAATCAGTTGGTTACTGTTTAGAAATCAATTACTGTTTTCATGTTATTACATTTAACTTAGTAGCATTTATAGCAAATGTTACATATTTAATTACTGTTCTTCACAGGAGATACTTAGGGAGGATAGCAAGATCTGATAGTAGATACTGTGACATTGATAGGGACTCCTGGTTTGTTGTTTTGGGGAAAAATAAAGTTTGAGATACAAGCTCAGGCTCTTGCTTACACTGTAATAAATTAGCTGGGCATCCGTAGGTAGAGAAACAAGCTACTTGTTGCCAGAAGTTCCTGTCTTAAAATCATAGAACATTTTGAGAAGGAACCTTAAAGATCATCTTGTTCCACCCCTGCTGCCCATGGCAGGGACAACTCCCACTAGACCAGATTGCTCAGCGCCCCATCCAACCTGGCCTTGAACGTTTTCAGGCTTGGAACATCCACAACTTGTTTGGACAGCCTGTCATGTGTCAGCCATTGTGGAGTCCTTGTCTTTCCCTGGTCAAGCATAAACTCTGGCTGTCCCTCCTGCTGTGCCAGTGGGTATTTGGCTCTTGCCAGTCCAGTCTCTGAAGATCCTGTTGATCTCCTGCATGCCTGACTCTTCAAAACCTGCGCACCTTCCCCCTGGACACTTTTACCTGGCAGCCCAGTGACTCAGCCCAGCAAGCCTCTGGAGGTGATGCTGAAATATTACTCCAAGGCTGTAGGAGCTGCTTTAAAATCCTGTGCAAAAATCCTTAGAATAGGAACAGAACAAAGTTTACAGTTTGATGAGGACTTAGAGAAGCCTGAGATGTAGTTTAAAGGGAGACAGAAACTCTAAAATGTAAATGTGGTAATTTACCTCCCTGCTTTATTATATTCTTGAGCTAGCAGAAATGCACTGGTAATGTCTCTTTAGCAGTGAAATGTCAGTGGTACTTGTTATAAATAAAGTGCCTCTTCAGCTCTGAAAATAAATTAATGACAGCAGGGTCTCTCCCCTGTCAGTAGCCTTGATTGCTTTTTCTCAGTGTCATGGCATGGACATGTTTTTTCATTGCTGCTTTCTAAGATTTCAGATATCTCCTTTTTGCACCGTTCTCTTGTCAGGCTTTATGCAAGAGAAGATGGCAAGCATGTTGTTCAGATAGTTGGACTGCGGGAGGTTCAGGTGGATTCTGTAGATCAGCTGTTGGAGGTAATGCTTGAAGTTCGTTCTTTGTCTTCTGCAGCCCAATTTGCTTATTTGTGAGGTGCGTCACTTACAGAGATTACTTACTGTGTAGCACAAGTGTTACGTTCCTGTTTAAGGCCCTGAGATTGGCAACCCCAGCAAGGCACCAAGGGGCTCTATTAAAAGTGCCTTTATTCATTAAGCTGTTCTTGTGTTAGCCACATTCAAGTAGTTGATTCACAGCTGTCGCTTCTGCTGCCATTCTATAGGGAAAGATTCCAAAAGTTAAATAGTGTCCCAGTAAGGGACCTTGAAAGATGGATATGTATTTTCTCCCAGTGTGGTATCTTGTGGGTCTGTGAACATAGATTTTTGTGTATAAAAGATACATGGTTTTTGCACAGAATATATAAATTTGAAAATTATTAGAAACAGACATTAGAAAATACTTAAGATTGAGATATTTTGTCTGAATTAGGATTAAAATACTACTTACATGTGTGCATGATAACAGCCAAGTAAAATGAAGATCTTTTAACAGTAGGTAACATTCACCAAGAACAAGGCTTCAGTTTTCTTCCCTGTCTGAACCCTAAAAGGACACTGGCAAATTTTCTGTATTGTCCTGCAACAAGCAAGCTGATTAAATCTACTTTCTATTTAGCCTGACTTTGCATAGTTTAATTCTTTTTTTTTGGTAAGGAAGTGTCAATTACAAGTGCCTAACACTGTAACTGGCTCATTAAAATTGTCATAGTTTTGTCCACTGATATTGCACTTAATTTAGTTGTTCATCCTCCCATTAACTCCAAGCTTCAGAACAAGCTGGTGCTGCTTCTGCATGTTAGAGTGCAAATTTACTATATGGTTGATTTGCAATTCCTTGGTATTATCACATTCCACACACAGAAGAGCTATTAAATGACTTAATTCTTACAGATATCCTGGGGGAAAAAATACAGGCCCTTTTGAACAAATATTGTTCACAGGCCCTTTTGAACACAGAAATGTCACTGGCTTGACTCAGAACTTCTGAGTATTCTGCACTAGATATATGGAAAGAGCTTTGAATGCATCCCTGGATAGTCACTACTCATGGATGTTGGCTCTGATTCAGAAATTATCTTCACTTAGCACTGATATAAAGCTCAGAAGCTGCAGTGGGTGGTTATGTTGGTGATTGAGAACTGGCCACTGAAAAACCTGAATAATCCGCATCTATCAGCTGAGAATGTATTGCTTTTGCTAGGCAATATTTTGATTTGTTCTTGCAGCCAGAAGCAAAATTAATGGCTTTTCTATGAATGCCCTGCTGCAGTCAATGTTAGACTTTCTGCAACAGTCCTTTAAAATTTTCAAAAAAGAATTATCCAGATTTGTATCTTGAAGGAGCCTTTATCCTTCTGTCTTGCCTTCCTTCCTTGTTTTTTTATTTTACTGCTGTATTGAGTATAATTAATCTTTTAACTTTGTTCCTTACTCTGGCATAATTTTTTTTTCTTTCTTTTTTTTTTGTTTTGGAAATTTAGAAAGGTTCTGGCAGTTCATAACTTTTTGTGTGACTTTCTGGATAACTGTACTCATCTACTATGAGAGAAAGCAAAATTTTAAAAGAACACAACAAATGGTCAATCTCATAAGTCTCTTAGATTGTGTCTATAGTACTACAAAAGTATGCCAGCAGTATAAGAAAGAATTTAATTTTATAATGTGGATATTTTGCAAATGTGAGTGTGTGATGCAGCAGATTGTTACTTGCAGTGTGCTCTTTAGGCTCTGTAGTGTCACTACAAGCAAGTCTATGCACAAAGTTCTGAAAGAAATAGTGGAGGGATCCAGTCTACCTCTACTTGCACCAAATCTTAAGGCTGTAATGCACCTTTCCTCACAATGTTTTCTTACCTTAGGAGGACAAGATCTCTTTCTGAGAGATTGTGGTTTTATTTACAATTCCTTTGGATTTTGTCCCCCTTATTTTGCAGGTGATTTTGAAGGGGGGAAAAGAACGTAGCACAGGAGTTACTGCAGTCAACTCAGATTCCTCTCGGTCTCATGCCATCATCCAAATTCAAATTAAAGACACAACCAACAGGGCATTTGGAAGGTAAAACCAGAAGAAGTGTTCAATGCTGTTAAGCCCAGGGACATCCAAGAGACAAAGAGGAGGTGTTAGTGCACAAGTGTGAGTTAAATTAGAAGACAGGATTAAAAGGGACTTTGAAAAGTTCCACAGTCCTTTCTCTATTTCCAAGGAGAATGTTTTAGGCACATCTGTGACAGCTTTGTCAAAATTGCTCATACAAATTTCCAGTGAAGGAGTTTGACAATCAAATCCATCCCCTCATCTTCAGTGTTTAATTTGGCTAAAGGTAGATGCCTGCAGTGGACGTAACCACATGTGAACTCACCACCTTTGACGTCAGTAGAATGAAATTGCCACTTCTGGGATCCCTGCAGTAAATTAGGTCAGGTGCATTTGCCCCTCAAAGCATTTCTGTCCTGTAATTGACTACAAAGGGCATGTGGGATGACCAGCCCAGGTGGAGATGACTCCATGACAGATGTTTGCCTTTGGCCAGAAGAATCAGAGTACCTCACATAAACCTCCATGATAATTTGAGTGTGTGACTCTGATGCTATCTGCAGCAGACAGAAAGAGCAGTTTACTTACTCTTGTGGCATCCACTTTATGTATTCAAAAACAAATTGTACCTCTTCTCAGAGTAAACAACCTCAAGAAACAGGTCTGAGGAAGAACATTGTGCATCTGCATTACTGTAAAGTATCACAAAATCCTGCTAACATCTCCTTCCATTAGCTACCACACTGTCTTCTTTCCCAGGATCTAATTTTGAATACAAGGCAAAATGGGAAAGCCACAAACTCTGAAGAGAGGAAAAGACAGAAGAGGCAGGCTTTGAAATAAAAATTATAGAGGTTTATGTAGGTGTGGCATTTGAACTGGGTGGGTTTTGTGAGTCTCAAAGGGAAGTGGAGCTGAACTGAGGGAAGGGTGCCAAGATGTGCCAATAAAGAAGTCAGGGCTGTTGCAGAAAAACAGGAAGGACAAAGACAAAAATACAGTGCAACAGTCAGTACAGCAGCTGGCACCCAGAGCTAGGAAGTGTGAAAGGGAGTAATGGAGTTCTGTGGAAAGAAACAACAGGGATCACTGAAAGCTCAGTGTATTATTTGCTACACTGGAAATTTCTGTTCCTATTGTCCTGAATTCTCATTTGACATGGCAACTGTCTCTTTTACCTGGAAGGAGAAATCAAAACACTTAAAATTTCTTTTAGCCCTGTTCTTAGGAAACTACAAACACAGTGATTATCTGCAGAGATGAATATGTTGTACTTTACACAGCTTATCCATTAAACTCTGGAGCACTGTCATCTCATGTAACTACACGTTCTATTATTTAATGTTAAGATGCTCTGACACAGTTCCTGCTCCTATGTTTATTTTGGTATCTCAGATATTTCCAGTGGATGTTTCTTGTTGTTCAAAAGTATTTATTTCTAATCACTCTTCTGATGCCATGTATTGCAGCCTGCTGGTTTAATAAAGGAAAAAAGAAGAGGGGAAAAAAGCCCCTAAGATAAACGCAGCTTTGTTTTTTCTAGGATATCATTCATTGACTTGGCTGGCAGTGAAAGAGCAGCTGATGCCAAAGAATCGAATCGACAAACAAAAATGGAAGGAGCAGAAATAAATCAAAGTCTTTTGGCAGTAAGCTACTATTATGTCTGGGGAAGGTTTTGTACTTAATTACTAGCATGTGTTTTAGGATAAAAATTAACCACAGAATAATGTATGCATGGAGAGGAAAAAATAACCAAGGTACTAAGTGTGTTCAGTTTAATTTGTCTCATGACTGAAAAACAATTTAAGAAGGAAGAGATAAACCTATAAAAATTAAGTTTTTTAAATCCATTCTTACTGCCAGACAGGTAAACATAGCATGGACAATGTTAGGTGTAGTATAAGTGACCCATATTTAATACAGAAGATTTTGTCCCTTCTAAAGAATACTGGCTTGGAATTGCCATGTTTGTTTCATAAAACACATCTGTTCCTGCCAGTTATTTTTACCACTTCGGCTTCTCTTTCAAATCAGGAATAAAGGACTTAAGAGCATAAAAACTATCAATTTATGTGTGGGGAGAAAGGAACAGGAAGAAATGCACTCCTGAGGCAAACTGTCATTGTAAGTGTCCTTAGTCAGGCAAAGAGGGACAAAGGAGCAGAAAAATGCCATCTAAGATAAAGCAGAAGTGCCTGTAAGTGTAAATGCTGCAGAAAGGTTTGTACCTCCTGTAATGCAAACAAGAGGAGCTCAGCTGGGCCTGGGGGCTTCTCTAAGCGAGGCTGAAGGTGATACAGGTTCCAGGGTATGAGCCAGCAGTGCAGAAGTCTGCACACAACTGTACCTCTTAGTGGGTTGTAAATAGGAGGTGGCTTGGGGAATGTAGATGCTCTTTTGCATAGAGGCTCTTCCTGCACTGGGATATTAGTATTTGTGCTGGGGAGGTAGCCTGTGAAGTGAATGTCTTTCTGTACTTCATGCTTTCTTGAGTACTTGCTGGTGAATAACTGAGTGTCATGACTTCTTTCTCTATAGAAAGAAGTTTGATCTTGAAGGTCTGCTCCAGCCTAAACAATTCTGTGATTCCCAAGAATCCTAAGCTCATGAAATTCTTTTAACAGAAACTGTAAAATCAGAGTCTGTTTATTTTTGGCATTGTGTGAAACTAAGAAGATACCTGGACAATCTACAAGTAGCAACTGAATTAAATATAAAAAGCAGCTTTGGGTGAATCTTTGTAACCTGCAGCCTGTAAAACCTAGCTCTGGCCTCAATGATCATAATTGTCTCTTCAGGCCTTTTAACCCGTGAGATCTGAAGTCTGCTGCTGGTTTGAATATTCATGTGATTTTCATGTGGAAGACTTCCAAACACTGCAACTATGAGAGCCAGACTAAGGAATTACAATAGTTTAATCTCTTACTTCTTACAGGTGCAGTTTTTGATAAAATGCTGTAAAAATGAGAAATAAATGTCATTTTTAGTGGGAGTTTGTAGAATGTAGAATGACTGTAAATGCTTGATGGCAGTATCATCATGACAATACTGTAATCTGCTCTCTCCAGAAGAAAGAAAAAAGTTCAAAAAGCTCTGTCCTTTGGGTACACCTGCCCTGCAAGCTGCAGCATAGCCTAGGCTACACCCAGTCTGGCTTCAGACTAACTAGATGTAGTGCAGGCAGCAGCTCTGTGTGCTGAATGTTTGTGCTTGCTCCTTGCATCTGGTGCCGCCCACGGAGCCATCAGGCAGGGCACAAATTGACCTTGCAAGGGACAACACATATAAGAGTCAAAGCGACACAGGACCTGGGTAGGCTTGGTGTGATGCTGTTCAGTTCCTTGCCAGTGCATGACTGATCTATTTTCTGTTTTTAATTTCTTTTGGTAGCTAAAGGAATGCATTCGGGCGTTGGATCAGGAACAAGTGCATACTCCTTTCCGGCAAAGCAAGTTAACTCAGGTAAATGAGCAGAAAGGCAAGAGGAGAGGTTTCCCTGCTGCAGACAAAAATAAGCAAAAAATCAAACAAATAAGTAAATAAATAAATGGCATAGTTCAGTAACTGCTTCCTCTCTTGAGGAAGAGAAGAAATGCATAGCTTTTGTAAATTTAAATTTTAAATATAATCACAGAATTAAAGCCAACTGCCAATTTCCCCCAGCCGACAATGGGGACTGGCATGGGAAAAAAAGAAACAAGCCAAGAGGTGAAACCAAACAAAACCCCAAACACCACCATCCAGACTCATACAGAGTTACCATCCATCTCCCCACAGTCTGAAAACAATCTTGCATCTTCTATTCAGTTACTGTCCTGGGAGCTTTCATCAATATTTCTTGACTTTAGCTGTAACAGCTGCTTTATTCTCAAACCATATTGGCACCCTTGAGGCATCTGGAACAAGGGCTTGTTTGGAGCCCTAATTAATACTTGTATTCATTTTAAACTATAAACAAATAAAGACAAGAAAAACTGAGATGAGGACTACATTTATCCAAAAAATTAATAAGCCACTACCTCATGTTGAATTTCTTCTGTAGATGTTGCTAATTTACAGGATGTGCAAGAAACATGATCTGCTAAGAACCCAATTTCTTTTTCCTTCAAACCCTAGGTGCTAAAAGACTCTTTCATTGGCAATTCCAAGACATGTATGATAGCCAATGTTTCACCGAGCCACCTAGCTGCAGAGCACACCCTGAACACTCTGCGATATGCTGACAGGTAGGAGATGAAACTCAGTTCTTGCCAGAACTGAAAATCACAAAGTAAAAAGTAATGTGTGATGTTTGCCATTACATTTTATTATAGTTGAACTGAAAATGTCGATTTAGGCAAGAAACAGAATCTTTAAAAAGCTAATAAAATCGTTACTTATTCCAACTCTTATATTTTGTCTTAAATATTTTTGGGTCTTGTAAGTACTTTCTGATGGCTACTTTTGGTGATGGAAATATCACTATGTGCCACTATATGGGGAAATACTTTTGCTAAACTTCAGGGCAATCAAAAGTTTTTATTTAGTTTTGTATTTTGATTCTACTTAGAATGTGTACAAGGCCTTCATCCTCCGTCCTACAGAGCAGGAAGTAAATTAGAAGCTGTGCAGTGCTGGTCTTAAAAGAACAAGAGACAACTTGAGGGGCAAGAGGAGCAGAGGGAGCAGCTGAGGGTCAGGGTGGTAGGGGAAAGGGTGATACCAGTTAAGCAGCTCTTCATAGCTGTACTGCTGAGTCTGATCCAGGAGCAGTGCAGCCCTGTGCACTTCACCTGAGCTAAGACCACCCACTGCAACTACTTCAAAAGTCCTACTTTGAGCCCTGTGGGACTCTGTGATGTGCTGTGGAGAATACCAGCTGGTTCTGCTGCATTATAATGTGTGGAAATGCACTTGCACTGAAACTGAGGCCATTTCCACTCACTTGACCTGTTATGCACCGCTTAAGGAAGAGCTTAAAAAGACTGCTATAGATTTTTCCAGAAGTCCGGGCATTTTAGCAAAAGCGTTTTGATACCTGTGAAGAATCACAGACAGAAAACAAACCATGATGTTGAATTCAATATTCAGTCTTAGTATGTGAAAGCATTAATTTGTTCTGAAGATGCTGTTATTTATCTGAAAGCATGACATCTTCTAAATCCAGCCTCTTTTTTGACAGGGTCAAAGAGCTGAAGAAAGGGACTAGATATCCTACCCCTGTCACAAAAAGGCGTCGCAAAGCTGGAAATGTATCTCCAAAAAATATCCAAGGCACACCCTTTTTGCCGCCTGGGGAAAAGAGCTCTCCAAAGAAAGTGAAGCTAGGCCTACAGCATCCCTCAAGTGCTACAAAACCAAAGGCATATCCTGCAACACTCCAGCCACCTGGTGTCCCTCTTACCTCTACCCCCAAGGGAACTGACAAAGAACATGCCTACACAGGAAATACCAGCAGTCCCTGCTTCCACCACACCACCCCAGTTAAGGGAGTCCTACAAATAACACATTCCCTGAAGAAAAATTATCTATCCCCCCTCTCTGAAAAGAGCTCCTCAGTGGAGGATTTCATTGCCACAGCAGAAACAGAAGAGAGTGGCCAGCAAGACAAGTATATGCAAAACAGAACGCCTGTCCAGTGCCTGAAAGTCCAGACAGTGCAACCTCTTCAGAAACAACTTGTTCCTAGTGAAGATAATTCCTTTGGAGATGGCAATCTGCCCTCCAACAGCGAACAGGAATGGGGAAATACTTTTGCTAAACAGTCTGTTGAACCGTGGATGTATCTGCCTTCATATCAGAAGGAAAGGGAAGAGCATTTACGTCTTTATCACCAGCAGTTTCAGCAACCCCCTATTCTAAAGCAAAAATTGAACTATCAACCCCTTGAGAGGTTTTTAGTGCAGTACAAGCCCGAGGAGATTCAAGTGAAGCAGGAGCTGAGCCTTACTCCAACTGAAGGGCAGAGCAAAGAGTGGGTACAGCTGGAGGATCTAGATGACAGTGATTTCAGTGAAGATTCTTTCTCACCTGTCTGTAGTCAAAAGAGTGTGAAAAAAGGAAATAGCAACAAATCCAGTCAACATTCATTTTTCCTTCATGAAAGAGAGCAAGGAACCGAAGAAGAGCAAAAAGGCCAAAAGCGGCAGGATTTATTTTTTGAATATGCAACACCCATGGAAGATCATGGATTAGACGACAGCTGGGATTGTAGTGAGGGTAGCTCAGAGGCAGAGGAATCCACTAAAAATTCAGGCTGCAGCAAAACTCCTGCAGACTGGAGCCATGATTTAGCTGTTGAATTCCCTCCAAGCAATACTGCAGAAAAACCTTACTGCCTGCAGGAAGATCCTGCTTGCAGCTGGAGAAATGGCAAGGACTTCCTAGCTGATCACAAAGAGTACAAGTCCAAACAAAGAAGCCTTGTTTACTCCAGTGAAGCTACCTTAACTCCAGAAAAGGATACTTCAACCCCGTATGTATCTCCTGTATTGAAATCAGGAACTCCAGAGTGCAAAGAGTTTGATCTCCAGCATGAGGAGATGGAAGAATCCACTTTGGCTAAAAAGGCTGGCCTTACAGGAGGAGGTGTAAAATGGAAAGCTCGAAAAAATGGAGTCAGCCACACTGTTTCTTCCAGCTGTTCCTCAGAATTCACCTCCGAGCTCACGACCCCACTCCTGGTGTCGCCTCCTGATGGTGAGGACACAACTGAAACAGAGAAAGCGTCTTCCAACCAAGAGAAGCCCCATGGTGAGAAGCAAGTGCTGGACAATGACACCCAGAGCAGGTTTGAGGATGAGGACTGGCAGTGCACCAGGAGCAGATCTCTGACTGACAGCATGCTGGAGCTGGCAGAGCACCTTGGCCACGGGGGAAGCCTCTGTGCCCTGCTGGGCTCCTCTCAAGACACCAGCAAGAAGCTCCCACCCACCTGTGGCCGTGTGAAGCCATGCTGCTGCCACCTGGGATCAGTTTTATCCAAGCAGGGAGTCCGGCGCAGTTTGTTTGTTGGACGTGACCCGACAGAAACATCTGCAGCTGGATCCACAGCTGGATCTGCTGTCGCCAGGCCAGAGAGAGAGGGTGGGGGGCTTTGCAGTGACTCCCCCTTCAAAGAACACTCAGGAGGCAGACGGTGTGGTGCTGATGTTAATCAGCATAACAATGCTGGTAATTCAGGGAAGTCTAACTCAAGTCAAGGGCCCCGTGCTGAGGAAATAAATGCTGAAAAGAGCTGTGAGAGCTGTGCATCCCAGTCCCCCTCTCAGGAGAGCTGCTGGCAGCTGCAGCCCAAGCCAGGACTGAGGAATGAGGACCTCACCCATTTTGAAGACCCTGCCAAGTCATCGTTTGGCAATGAGGAGACAGTGTTGCTGAAAAACAAGTCAAAGCAGAGTATTTTTACACAAGAGACTTTTGCTGCAGATGCAGGATTTGCAACCAAAGATAATAAGCCAATAGCAAATGCAAAGTGCCCCTCACACGTGTCCAGCAGCAGTTCTCCAAGTGCTGCATCAGAGATGGGAAAATGGCAGAGAGAAGCCCTAGAAAAGGCACAGTAAGTCTTGCTCATCATGAAGTTTGTAGTGAAGGTTAGAAAATCTGGATGTGTGCTACATTTCCTTTTTTTGTATGTCATACGTACTTCAAAAACCAATGGTTGATCATTCTATTAAATAATTATAAGATTAATCATAATTTATAATAATTATCTTAAAAATACATGGTTGCTTTTATTTTGTGATATTTTAAAATCTCACAGGAAGCCAATTATTATATTACAGCTTCTAGGATAATGCTAGAGGAATAAATATTATAATACAAACTGCAGTTCTCAGTAATTAAGCTGTAAAGTACCTAAAATATATCAAAACCTTCCATCAAGAATCAGGTTATAGCTGTTCCATCAATGAAAAGAAATGCTGCTAGAGCAGCTGAGCAGTCACTGAAGATGTAGATATAAAGCTTCTGAGTACTCTGAGCTGCCATTGTCAGCTCCCAGGTACTGGGCTGCATTCCCTTGACTGAAAATACATTGTTGGTCAGTGAAACTTGCTCAGAGGAATCAACAGCAGCACTGAGCCTTCCTGCTCAGCCTGTTTCTCACTGGAATTACTTACAGACTCATGGCCATAAACCATTTCACCTATTAATTAGATGATTGTTGTGCTCCTTGATTCTCCTACAGTGAAGAGCAGTTGTGTGCTGCCTGTGCTAAGGAAGGGCTGTGGTCACTCCTCTGTGAGCAGCCCTCAGTCACCCCGTTCATCCTGAAGCCCTCAGCAGTGCAGTCCACTGCACTTCACAGAGCACTGGTGTGCCCTTCCTGAGTGCCAGGGACACAGGACAGCAAGGCTTCCTCTGGGGTATTCCTCTTTCTTAAAGGTTTATTGAGGCCGGCTGTGATTACCAGCAGTGATTACACTACAGGCTGTGTAACCAGTGTGTGTTTTTTGTTAATCAGAAAGACTGTAATTCGTGCTCATCAGCAGCAGCTGGATGAACTGGCACACCTGTGCTTCAAAGAGGAGTGCTTGATAAATCAGATGTCAGCAATGGTAAGTGTTTCAAATTATGGTTTTGGTGCCCATTGAGCCTGCACAAATTAATCTTACAGATTATTAACTTGAATTGGTGATGTGATGTTCCTTGTCAGTTCAAGCCCTTCTCCAAGGCCTTAGTCCTGGGAGAGGCCTCTCATTTTCAGTCCCTGCTGTGTTTGCCAATCTCCACTGTGACAGGCCCTTGGGGAGCAGGAGATGGATGGGCCAACCCTGAAGCCCTTGTCTCTAATAAGAGAGCCTTCCCTTATCTCGCGTCACGGGGCAGACTGTACCAGACTATCTGTCCCTGTGATGTTTTAGCTCTTGCAGGCTGGGACAAGTAAGCCAATACCACAGAACAGAGCACACCCCTAGGGCAGGACACTGGTGGGATTTGGCTCTTCCCTCTGGGAGCCTCTTTGCCTATCACACTGCAGGTGTGCCAGCAACCTGGGCCTTGCTTAGTCCAGTGTTCTGACCACTGTGGCTTGTGCCTCACACGCTCTTGGCTTTGGTTACTCAAGTGTTTCTTGGCTTGTCTTTGCTTCAGATGACAGGCGTACCCTAGACGTAAAAACTGGCACCTGCATGGCCCCACTGCTAGTTAGGCAGTTCCTGTTCTCTGTTTCTCCTGTATCCCAACAGATACTTGTCACACCTATGTGAAAATCCAGACTGAACATTTTCCAGTGAGAGCTCCTGCCTTCCCAGTTCCCTTACCTTCTCAGTAAGGCCAAGCTCCATTGCTGCATTGCCTTATCAAACCATTTTGATTCCTATCACAGTTCAGATCTGAAGTACAGGGACTCTTCCCTCAGGGGCTTTGGAGTGAGGCCACCATGTGGCTTATTCACTGTGATTTCAAGCTGCACATGCTGCTTTACAGATAACATACAGTTCACAAAGCAGCACAGGAGAGATAAACTGTATTCATTTTGTGGCAGACAATGCAGTGAAACAAAGCTATCTTTCATCTTCTTAATTTTTTTTAATCTTCTGAGATTGTTCTTGTTAAGTCTGTTTGTCACTGGACACCAGCTCTCTCCCTGCATTTATTTGCCCCTTGCAGCAAGCAGTTATTTTGTGGCTAGCAGAATTTTACAAGCTTGCCAGGCCTCCCAGCAGTATGTGAATAACATACCCTGTAGTTTTATTTCACAGCATGACCTTTTTTTAATGAAATGTGCTTGGGCTTCATGCATCAGCTTCTCTCCTTCCATTTGCAGATGGTTTCACCTTCTCCAGCCATGAAACTTTGGCTGCAGGAGAAACTCCTGCCAAGACCAGACACACTGAACAAAGCAATATTTAAAGTGCTTAAGAAAAATATGCCACAGCAGCTGGGTTAGTCTTCATAGCTGGCCTGATTTCCCTGCAGGACAGAGATACAGTGCAGGAGATACAGCTGGAGTACTGCCAAATAAGCTTTTGTGTGATTGATTTTCATACACAGCAGCTGAATTTCCCAGCCCTGGGGATGCTGACACCTCCCAGCTTCTCAGGCACAGACCTGTGAACAAAGGCACCAAACTACTCTCAGCTGGAGAGAAGAGCATGTCCAAGTGCTCCCTTACTAATACAGCCCTACTTAAAAAAGGATTAAAACTCCAGTTTTAATCACAGTTCTGTACTGGTTTTTATCTGTGTGGCTATGAAAGGCAGAGTTCCCTGGGCTGAGGCTGGATACGGTATTGAGCTGGTATTGCTCATAGCAGACCTGCAGCCATGGCCCCATGACCTGATGGGAAATAAATCCCTTGCATCTCTCAAGATTGGGCTATAATGTCTGATCCATAGTGGCCTAACTCACCATTTATTTTCGTAATTGATAAATCCAACATGAGAGGTGTCAGGAACAGAGTTCAGTACCTGGTAAAACTGGGTGACCAGTCCCAGTAGCAAACCTCTTAAAAGCTAGCCAGAGTAGAAGAGCGACAGCAGCTGCTTTGTTTTTATTTTTAAGCCACTACACGAGCTGTAATTTCACCAACAGATAAAACTACCAGAGTCAGTGAACCTTGGTATTTAGAGGCACTGACCTTTGTCTGTGAGGACTGTGACTTTAATAAGGAAATGCTGATTTAATCTACTAGTCTGCAGAATGCTTTTACATTCTGCTGCAGTGTAAAAAATACGCTGATATTTTCAACCTGCTGATACTATTCCCTACTGTTTCCTTGTGCCTTCCTTGCCAGGATTTTCAGAATTTCATGGCCATGCTGGATGAAATCTTGGTGCTGAAGTCAAAGTGTGTCCAAACAATGCGAGCCCAGCTTCAGCTCTGTTCCGTCTCCCCTGGCACTGAAAAATCACTGCAAACAGGTCCACCAGTTTAGACCTTCTTTGCTTACACATGCACTGGAGCAGCTACAGGAAACCCCAGCCAGCACTTTGCTACACTTGGTGCTGCAGAGTGTGGTTGGTAGGGGATAGTTTTTGGTTTGACGTTTGTGACTAGTGTGTGTTTTATATAAGGATGGAGAGCATTCTGAGTAAATGAGAGATGAATAATTGGCACCATAAGCTTCGTATTTCATTAATACCAGTAAACCACATTCTGAACAGTAACAATTCAGCAGCCTTTAAATATCTCACCAAGTAGCAGGCAAGTCGCGTTAATGTATCACAGGAGCTTCTCACATGTTAAAGGCAATCCTGTGTTGCCAAGTAAGGGAAACAACTTTGAAGCCAGATACAGGTCAGAACAGAAATGCTCAAAAGCTACCCAGAAAAGTCTTTGCAAACAAAACCCAGGAAAGAGAGAGGAGCCAGGAATTGTTACACTAAGGTGTCTGGACCTTAAGTATTTGGAAGTCAAGGCAGGGTGTGTGAAGTGCCATCAGTTTCAGAAGAAGGAAGCCTATTGTTGAATTATTGCTTGGGATGAACCCTCCAGAGGTCCTGAAAGAGGTGGCTTTAAGTTAGGGGTAAGGAGTGGTTTAGCAGGGACTTCCTACCAAAGATTCCATCTGTCATGTTAATGAGCACATGGGTTTCATGCTGCTGCCCAGAGGAAGATGCCAGCAGCTGTACCTGCAGCACACCACATCTAATGCCTGCACTGAGCAGAGCTGAACAGATTTCTCACATGAAAACAGGGTCTGCTTGGAGGCACTGGGCTTCCAGAAGCTGCTGACAGCACTGTTATGTGAAACTGTTATTTGAATCAAGAGCTACGGAGCAATCTGCTGGAGCCCTGGTGCTGCATGCATCGCAATGTGAACCACAAAGCCAGTCCACTTGCTTTGAAGGCACAAGTGACCTTGAGACACGCTTGCTGACAACACGCTGTGTGAGTGCTCCCACTCCAAAATCAGGGCTGTCGCAGCACATTCATCCATCTCTGTGTCTCCTCAGTAACGCCTGTGGTAGCTCGTTCAAAGCCTGCTCAGTAGCCAGAAATGCCAAGGGGAATGGAACTCTGCTGTTTGACCAGCTGGGGGTTTTGCTGCCTGCCTGCACAGCCTCCCTGAGGAGCCCAGGTTGGGCTGAGCAGCAGGACAATAATCGCAGTGACACTCTGGGATGCATATTTGGTGCAAACACTCCCAGGAATGTCACCCAGCGTAGGCCTGCGGAACAGAAGCAAATCCCACATCACTGCCCTGACTGTTGAGTTGTTTTTAGCACTGGTTAGTCTCCATCTTGCAGCTGAGACTAGATTTCTCTGTGGAGCAGAGAGCGGAGTTTCTCTGGGGTCTGAGGCTACAGCTCTCAAAGTGGTTCCTGCGTCCTGGTCACAGGCCAGCAGCAAGTTCACACTTGCTGCTGAACCTGAGTCAGAAGCCTCCTCTCTCACGCAGGGAGATGAGGTATCCAGGAGCAAGACTCTTGGGATTTCTGCATGGCACAGAGCAGTGGTGCCCAACAGCCACCAGAGAGCCGTAAAGCAGTGGGAGATCAGCACTCTGCAGCAGCCACACAGGGAGGAGCAAGTGTTTCAAACCACCAATCCCTGCACTTCCTAGGGCCAGGGAGAGCTTACCTGTGAGTAAGGTGAGGGGAATACCGGGCAGCTGGGTAGTCCTCCTGACAGCATAAATTAGATGTGGGCACTTAATTTCCCCAGCACATTCTGAGCGAGCATGCAGCAAAAACTGGTGTCACAGAGCAGCTGAGGAGTGTGGCAAGTCTATTTGAAACCAAAGAAAAGGTCAGACTGTAGGATGTGTGCACAGGACACAGGCAAATGTGATGCCCAGTCAGAAACAGTGCAAGGGAGGAAAATTTTCCCTCCATGTACTCTGACATTTGGGAGATGAGTGTTGGTTGGTCACTCTTTCAGGTTTTTAAAAAGCATGTGAGCAAAGTATGTTTCACAGACATTTTGAGTGTCTTACACAAGGTGGATATTCCTAAGCAACACACTAGAATCATTTGCACAACCCACAGTACCATGTCCTAACTTCAGTATCTGCCAGTTGTGACAAGACAGATGAGTGACCAAAAATTTCTGTGAGCAGAGGAGATGTGAGTTAAGTCAGCTGCCAGATTGGAGCCACCTGATCTATTGTGAAAAAAGCAAGTCTGGCAGATCTGAGCCCCAGAAGCAATTCCCAGGGCAGGAACTATCGCCTCCCTCGAGGAACGGCCAGGGACACTGGAAAACAACAAATAATCAAAACAACAACCACACACAATTTTCCAATGTCTGATACAATCTCTTTTTTAAACGGGTTATCCAACCAATCCACATGACTATACCTTTCATAAATCTTTCATTATGTCTATTCTCCAAATTTTATTTTCTCTAGTGAAGGTGAGATTTGACCTAAATAAAAAAATAAAGCATCTGGCTGTGAAAAAAAGCCCACCCTTGGCAGTAACATGGACATGCTTGAAGTGGTGCACGCCCCAAAGATAGCAACAATGGGTTCCTCATATGCAACAGAAACTATCCAGCTGTTATCAGAAATGGTAACATTTTTCTCTCCCCTTTGAGGTTTATTACCTAGTTGCTGCTTTAATTCTTGTGTGAAAATATGCTAAATGAACATTTTAAGTGTCATTCTCTTCCTACTGTTTAATATTTCACTGACAACTGCTACAAAACATTTTCACTTCAACTTGAACATGCATTAAAGTGTCATAAAAGCAATCTAAGAGATTTAGAGAGCTTGGTCATGTACCATCAAATAAACACAGAACTAGTATGGATTCACTTTTGTATTCAGATGCAACAATGACTATTAATGCTTATTAGCAAAGGCTTGATACTTTATTTCAGTAGTTGACAGAATTTAAAATAAAATTCAGTTTGCTACAGAACTCTGGTGAAAATCATTTTAGGTAAACATGATCAAAATGCCCATTTGACTGACTGCAAAAGATTTAAGTGGGGCTGGAAATCTGTACGAGCTCCCCTTTTCACAGGGCTTGGTGTGGAGTTTCAGGAGCCCTGACACACAGCTGGACTGACCCTTCCTGGCCGCAGCCACAGAATGCTGTTGACACGGGCTCTGTGCTCTAGCAGATCCGGGGCAGAAGCCACGAGGCTGGGCAAAAAAAGCCCTGGGGCACTGGGTCAGCTGCTGCTGCTGCTGCTCCCACTGCTCGACTGCAGGATCAGGAGCTCTTGTTGAAAGTACAACCAAAAGTACAACCACCAGTTTAGGCACTATCTCTACACTTCTCACCAGCCTTCCCACCCAGGCACACAGACCTCAGACAGAACCTCTGACAAAGGCACAGCAGGGACATAAATAAAGGTGACCTGATAGCCTAAGGAAAAGCTCCAAAGTTGTGTGACTAAGGCTGCAGCCAATCTTCTCACCAGCCTGCAGCAGGGCAGAGCCCAGCCTTGCTCCAGCCAGCAGGACCTCCCCCCAGCCACAATGAACTGTGCCTGGGCAGTACCAGATTAACAAGTGCTGCACAGCACCCTGAACATTGAACTCTGGTCACATGGGGTCCCTTGTTACACATTCATTCAGCAGTTCCTCTTCTCTAAGCTGCCCCCTTAGTCCCCTCACTCTGGGGTATTTTCTTCACTGAGATGCCAACATAGCAATACCCTTCATGCCTTCAGACACCCAAGGATTTAAATCACTGCCAAAGCAAGAGTGGTGTCACCAGGGTAGACTTGGGTGGGCATGGCTCTCTGAAATAAGACCCTGCATCTTCACAGCTTTCACTTCCCATCTTCACCTCCCTGCTCCCACCTCCACAAGAGCTCCAAAAGCAGAGTGATTATTCTGCGGGGTTAAGAGCCAGACCTTGGAGGGGAACTGTGAAAAAAAACCCCACACACTAATACAATCAGAGATTATTTTATTCAGAGGTTTGGTCTAAATAGTTGTTTCTTTGCTGGCAAAGAATTCTTGCCCCTTCCAGACTGTCTGGTACCAGACGGGGACTCACTGGGGTAGCAATTCTGAGAAAACCAGAACAAGCAACACAACCAAATGCTCTCAGCAGTGATGGAAAAGCAGTTTGAATTTTGTTTTCAAGGTTTCCCAATTAATCAGGAACCCCATTTCCTCACTTCACTGTTGCATTTCTGACCTGGGAAGGAAGAAAAGCTGGACATTACCTGCACTGCCAGAGGCAGCAGCTGCTGTCCCACCAGCTGCTAAATGTCCTTCTTAGACAATCTTTATTTCAGCTCCACTACTAGAAAATGGTGAAGGTCAACACTATGGGGTATGTGCAAGGCAAACTGCCCTGCTCCTCCTCATCATCCTTCTCCACATCTCCTAGATACTTGCCAGCAGATCCCTCTCTTGCATCATTTTAAGTAAACATTTAATTCATGCAGTTGGGCACCCCACAGAGAATTGCAGGAGTGCACACTGGGCTCAAATTAGATGTTTTGGTCATAGAAAGTTAACAACATAATGGAGACAAATGCCATCTCCTTTGGAGTCCTGATGAGCTGAAACCTCCTACTCAAAAACCTGCACTGATGCAATGAGCTGAGACATTTTGCCCTCCAGCAGTCCAATGCTCCAGCTCCAGGCTCTAACATGAGTTTGTATCCCTAGGCTGGGGTTTTGCCACAAAACAAAAATAAGCTACAGAGAAGCAAAGCACCTTCTACCACTGCAGCTGCAGGTCAGAGACCTCTGGTTGCTCTGCCCAGCAGTGCTCACACATGCCCACAGGAGCTGGCAGCACCTGGGTGGGCAGGATGCAGCAAGGTCCCCGTCTGCTGAAGCCAAAGTGCATGAGAGATGGGAACCATGACACTGGGAGTTATATTTCAAGGTTTTATTAGTTGGTCTTCTGCAGAATCAAAATATTTAGCAAATTAGAGATTCCTCAAGACTGCTGATATTTAATGTATTTAGAACTTGATCAATGTACAACGTAATACTTTGAACTATCAAAAACAACCCCAAACCTGATTTGTAGTACTAGATATTATTATGTAATTCTATATCAGTGTGAAAAATTGAACTAATGCAGTGAGTATATCTGTTTTAAAGAAAGTGCTTGAAAGTAATCTCCTGCATCACACTGTGTATTATTTAAAACAGAAAGATTAACTGACTTTCTAGCA